GGGGGTCAGCAGAGATCTGAGGAATCAAAAAGGGTCTGGGGAGGGCTGAGGGGTCAGCAGGGATCTGGGAGAGAGATCTGTGAAGGCCTAGCGGGGATCTGGGGTTCTGTGAGAAGCCATTAGGAATCTTGAAAGTTCTGCGAGGGTCCATGCCCTGCTTTTATTACCAAAGCCATTCCCACTCCCCCTGTGAGGTGTGTGCCGGAGATGTGTCCACACAAAGCCAATGTTCAGAGGGGCTCTGAGCAGCAGAAGGCCCTGCTGGAAGCTCTGCGGGGATGCTGTGAGCTGGAGATGTGCTTGCTGCAGGTGCAGCACCTGGGATGTTGGCATGGCTGCCCAGCTTGGGGGCAGCATGCCCAGCTGTCCTTATCATCGATCAGCGGCACGTGGGATGTGAGGTTGCAAATGTCACTGTGCAATGGGCAGAGCGTGGTTGAATGCAAGCCACTCCTCATTGAGGGCATTCCCAGAGCACCAGAGCCTGTTCACCGTGCTGAGGGAGAGGATCAGGCACCAGGCTTAGGAAGAAACCTATGTGGATAGTGGCATTGAGGAAAGCCTGAACAAAGGCAAACACAAAACAAAGGCAGTTGAGGTCAGAGGAAAGGGAAACTGTAATTAATAGGGGGAAAGAAGATAGGCTTCCAAAATTCAGTATGGAGCCACTTTCAACTCCTGCTGTTGCTGTCCTGCACCACGTGGCAGTGGCACAGTGCTCAGGAAGGGCGGTGGGAAAAGCCAGGTGAGCACAGGAGGTGTGGGAAAGGCTGCAGGGCAGCCAGCAGAAGGGGATCGCTGCCAGGCTAAGCCAGTGCTGGGGAGAACAAATGCTAATTGCTGTGGGTGGGGAGCAAGCAGCCAGTCAGACTTTCCAGAGAGATTCCCAGGCCACAAGGGGAAGGGGCTGGAAGGGGAGAGATATGTTGTGCTTTTCCTGGTGTTAATTATTAGCCAGCAGATTAAGGTGGAAGGAGTTGAGCCACATGGCATTCAGTTTGCTTTCCTTGCATTTGTAACTCCTCCTGCTAGGATGTCCAGCTTTGAATTCCTGCTGGTAGGTGCTTTTCCAAGTACATACAGGTGAAAAAAACAGAGCTTTTGCTTGCAAGCAGCAAGAGGACAGATCACAGCTGCTGAACTTAGGGCTCTAGACATGACAGATATAGAGCAATAGACATGGCTGCTGTCTTGTGCAGACATGGTTCATCCCTTCTGGACTTTCCCAACAGATAAACAGATTTCCTTTGCTGGAGATAAATCCCTGCATCTTACGTGGATCCTGACTTTCTGCTGGCTGTCACACCAGCAAAACATTGTCTGCATCTTTCACCCTGGCTCCTCGTGGACCTAGGTGATTTGTTCCCAGGCCAGGGCTGCAGTGTCTGTAGGTACAGAGAATTGCTACCTGCTGCTCGCCCCTAATCACAAATGCAGCATTCAGTGCTGTCAGCAAAGCCTGTGTTCCCATGTTGTGAATGCACTCGTCTCCAAAAAGCTTAGAGCAGCAGAAAAGACTTCTGTCCCATAAGCCAGTGTAGTATAGCCGTGTAGTTTTTTAATGCTAACTTAAAATAAACAATGCTGCACTCAACAATTTGCCTAACTATTGCAGGGACAGTTCCTGTAAATGTTGTTTGTCCTTGGGGTGTCTTGCTCAGGTAGTCTTTAGAGGAGTGCAGAACATTAATTGCCATGAGGGCAGCCTTGTCCAGCCGCTCACGCTGCCCTGTCTCGCCTATGTGTCACTCAGCAGAAACTACTCCTGCTGAAACTGGTCTTTTTGTTCGTTGTGGTAGCTGGCCTGTAAGTTGTTTCTTGTCACTTTGTGCTTCAACAGGAGAGGAGACTGGGTTGTGTAGTGGGTATGGCGAATCCTTATTGCACAAAATAAACTAGAAGTGGTTGAAGGAAGGGCTCTTGCAGGGAGGCTGCAGTTCCAAGCTCTTCTGGGCATGGCGTGTCCCAGCACGACTGCTGCAGAACAGCTGATGCAGTCCCTTCACTTCTCTTTCTTCACCCCAACCGCAGGGAAGTGCAGAAAGCTGTGAACACTGCCCAGGGGCTCTTCCAGAGGTGGACAGAGCTCTTGCAGGATCCCTCCATTGCCACAAGAGAAGAAATCGACTGGACCACAAATGAGCTCAGGAACAATCTGCGGAGCATTGAGTGGGACCTGGAAGACTTGGATGAAACAATTAATATCCTTTCTGGAGTTCTTTGGAGGTTGGGGCATGCAGTTCCTAAGCTGTAAGAAATAGCTACGTAGCAGCTCTTGCTGGTAGCTAATTTTTTGCAGGAACCAGGACTATCAGGGATTGAATTTTGCATTTACTTCAGCTTTTCTCAAACAGCAAATGAGTTCAGCAAGAGAATTTCCCTTTTGTATTCCCTTTGACAAGGTATATTATAAGATGCTTTGTGCTTAGAAGCTCATTGTGTTATATGAATTTGGATTTCTGTGTAGTCACTCATACTCAGGCTGGCTTCCAAAATTATTCCTTTTCCCTCGTGTTCAGCTGAAAGCACTGCACAGCATTGGAGAACTGAGAAAAAAAAAAAAAGCAGGAGAGAAACCTCATTCTGGTGCATGTACTGTGTTGAATGTTGCTGCCACGCTTTCCTTCCTCCAGCATCTAACGTTTTGCTAATCAAATTATAGAAAAAAGTGCAGCACAGTGGAAAGGTGCCTCTTCACGGGCTCCCATCGGGGCGGTTTGTCTGTCTGTGTGCACTGAAAGCCGTTCTCAGACTCCTTGACTCCTCCCCTATGCATCGTTGAGGCAAACCCTCGGAAGTTCAACCTGGATGCCACGGAGCTGGGTATCAGAAAATCCTTCATCACCAGCACGCGGCAGGTGGTCAGGGTAAGGAGCAAGGGCTGGGATAGGGAAAGAGAAGGCAGCTTGAGCAGTTCAAAAAAGGCAATGGGGTGACTAGGTCAGTGCTGAACTGGAGAGCAGAGAGTAAGTCTGCTACCTGCTTGCCCTCAGGCTGCCTTCTCATCCCCACATCACATGTTCCAATGTCAGAAGGACTGCCTGCCTGGGGTCAGGTGCAGGGGTCATGTTTCCTAGCATGCTTCTCTTGTACTGATGAATCTACAAGCCTGTACAAAGTGGAAAGGAAGAGTAAAAGACCCTTCTGCTATGCAAGTCTCCTTTCAGAGTTAAAGGAAATTTTGCCTATTCAGTGCTTGCATCGCTGGTTGACAGAAGCAGAGTCCACTTCGAACACTGACATCTCTTTGTAGTCTGGTGTTATTTATGTGGCTTCCCCCTGCTACAAAGCAGTCAAAACAGCCATTAGTTTTATTTTTAACTCCGGGAAGATTTTGTAGTTTAAACTCACACTCCTAAATATCAGTACTTCAGAGAGAGGCGGGCCTGGCAAAGCTCTGCCTGTTGGGCCGCAGCTTCACACAGCTCAGTGCTACAGGCAGTGGTAAAGTGAAGTTCAGTAGCACCTGCAAGAGCAGCAGCATTTAATCACAGAATCACTGAAACACTAAGGTTGGAAAAGACCTACAAGATCATCCAGTCCCACCATCCACCTATCATCAATAGTTCTCACTATGCCATATCCCTCAACACAGATCCAGACATTCCTTGAACACCTCTAGGCGTGGTGAGTCCACCACCTCCCTGGGCAGCCCGTTCCAGTGCCTGACCACTCTTCCAGAACAGTTAGTAGTATTTCCTAATGTCCAGCCTCAATCTCCCCTGGTGCAGCTTGAAGCCATTCCCTCTAGTCCTATCACCAGTTACAGAGAGAAGAGGTTGACTCCCAGCTCACTACAGCCTCCCTTCAGGTAGTTATAGAGAGCAGTAAGGTCTCCCCTGAGCCTCCTTATTCACATAGCTCTTAGGGAGGATTCAGAAGCAGGAGGAGTATTTTAACAGCTCGCTGGTAATAAGTAGAGAAGAAAAAATCTTTCTGAAATCTTCACTGCCTGCCAACACACTGGTTAGGAAGTTTTCTCCCTATTAATAGTACACTCAGTGCAGCTTAGTTTCTGCTTTCCCTCGTGGCTCTGATGTTCCTCCTTGACAAGCTGCATTGCTGTGGCTAGCAACAAGCTTGTTATTCTACCTGCAGTCCTGCGGTCCAGAGGCAGTTCTTAAGGGTCTCTGCCTGGGAACTGATCCCGAAGCCACACCAGCCCCAGCAGCAGACATGGTGCTTGCTGCCTTGTCCTCAGTGTAGTCAGCTTTGGAAACAAACAGGATCAGGCAAGCCTGCTATCTAGGTCCTCTTTTGCTGATTGAAAGCTGCTGCCTGATGGGTTTTGGAGCAGTGTGTCTCAGTGGTAAATGAAATTCTTTCCTGGTGGCGTGCAGTTAATTGACTTATGTTTTCCATGGGGATAGAAAGCAGTTTGTGCATTAGAAGTAACCAGGTGGGATCTGTTGCTTAAATAATACATCTCTGAGCAGTAAAACATACCTGTGTGTCTTCAGGTGACGTCAGAACTCTGCTGGTGGGTAAGGTCAGTCAGCTCCTGCTGGATCATGCTGGCTCCTTGCTCATCTGCACTATAGAAACTAAACTGGTTTGCACTGGGAGTAGGAGCCTCCAGGGTCTAACTGTCTTCTGTAGGAAGACAAAATATAACAAGTAACAGAGAAAACACAGAGATAGTCAGAGAGGAGGGCCATAGGACAGGAAATCTATCTTGTCCTTTGCAAGATTAAATCAGGTACAACTGGGAATAAAGTGCAAGCTACGGGTTCCTGAGACCTTCAAGAACATAACTTCTTTACAGTCTGTCAATGGGAACATTAATCTAGTATTATACAAATCAAAGTGTTTCTGGCAGTCTAATCTAGCTGTAGATATCCTTCTTCATCGCAGAGGAGTTGGACTAAATGACCTTTAAAGGTCGCTTCCAACCCAGATGATTATCTGATTCTATAAAAATGAGTAGTAAATAAGGAATATTTTCAAAATATTCCATTGCTGTTGGTTCTACTATTAGTAAAGCAATGAACTGCAGTGGAGATTTTAACAGCATTTTTTCAGACTCTTCAAAACTGTATGCTTTCAAAGAAAATTTCCCTTCCCTCACTCACCACAAAGAAATCTTTCTGGGTATAGACAGCTTGGTAGCAAACTGAAGCTGAAAGTCGCCTCAAATCCAATGCTTACGTACTTCTTCTTTCTTTGAACAAACAGGAAATGAAGGATCAGATGTCAAACTCCTCCATGCAAGCACTGGCTGAAAGAAAAAACAGGCAGGTGAGAATCAGAATGGGCAAGCTAAGTGAATGCAGTGGTTATTTGGCACTTGAAAGAGCTAGAAGGATTTATCAGCTCTAACAGCTGTTTTGAGACATGTGTTAGGTGAAGCTTTCGTATCACTTAGTCTGGAGACCCACACCATGAAGTAGAGCATATAGCATGGTTAAAGCTCCTTTAAAGCTGTAAGTACCATATATATCCCACTTTGTAGCACATCACCTTACAAACATTTGTTCTGGGAAGGGGCTTGCATGCTGCAGCAAAGCTGTGTGTTTGAGCCACGTCTGTCTCACTGATCTGAGAGCATTGGTTTTGTCAGGCTTGTTGCTGTCACCCTCTTTCAAACCTGTCTCTCAAAGCAGTAAGTCACCACTCACCATCTGTCTCCATCTTCAGAAGTGCTTGTGTACAGCCATCAGCATTGCATCACCCTGCAGAAAGGGGAATCTCCCTCCATCTCAGGAGGAACAGTCAGAATCCAATTCCATAAACGTAACCCCGTGCTCTGCTGTATTTAGGAGCCAGGACTCCACATCCCCTCACAAATAGCTGCTTCACATGATAATTAACCTTGTGAGAAGATGGAAGAAGCTCAAGCAGTCTCAGGTTGTCTGCACTTGTAATCTAAGGAATAGAAATAGATGCTTCTCCCTGGCTGGTGAGACTGTAAGGAGATCTTTGAGCTGACTTCCAGAGCTGCCTCTGTCAGCGTTGGTGTGCCGTATCTGGCTGCATCAGTCTTTGTCACCTGTGGCAAAAATGATGAACTGCAAGAAGATACTGAGAAGGACAGAGCTGGTTTGTCAGCCCGTTACAGGCTTAACTGATGTGCTTGGCAAAAACTTGGAGAAGCAAAGTCCCTTACTGCCTTCCTCAAACAAGCCTGTAGCTGTCTCTAAGTTTTGCTGCTTTAAACTGCTTGCTGCAGGAGACCATATGGCCCAGCTCACGCAGTGACATCTGGTCAGGAAAACTCATTTCCCCTTGCCATCTTCCTTCCCCAGCCCCTCGCCTTCCCTCAAGTCCTCAGAGCCTCAGCTGGGCGGGGCTACAGCAGCTTCTCCAGCACTTCTCTGTGTCTGAGAGGCCTGCTTTTGGCTGGTGATGACCTGATCCTCGTGGACTGAGGCTGGCAAACACAGACTTCCCTCCGGAAGCTGCATTAGAGCTTCCTTCCAGGGACCAGATATCCTCAGCTGGAAAGCCACTTCTCTGCTGGATTTGCACTAGCTTCTGTGTTGAGGTCATAGAGCAGATAGAGAGTGTAATCTTGCAACCTGAATCAGAGAGCGTAACTCCTGCCTACAGCACTGCTGTGTTTATATTACACTGTTTTACTGTCAGTTCATCTGGTTAAGTACTTTATGCAGACCTTCAGGCCTGGTCATCAGCAGCATGGCGTTCAGTCCATCTATTAACACGATGTATCTGGGTACTTCCCAGCTCACACATCCTCCTAGCACACAGTGCTGCATCTTGAACAGACCTTTACCAGTCCTCTGGGCAGTGCGGGCCTCCTGCTCGCGCTGTCTGTCAGTCGTGCTCCAGCTCTCCTGTTAGTGGAGCAGCATTTCTGCAATAATCATGCTGCAGATATTTCCCATGCTGGTATTTGGCACTGCATTGTTTTAGTTTGTGCCAGCACTCTGGCTGAATACCAGTAGAGCGGCAGGAAAAGGATGCTGTAGGCATGTGCACAGGAGCGTTGCCTTGTCCTCCTTGCCTGAGACCAGCTGTGAGCAGACACAGAGGTGTTGCTGCTAAGGGACTTCTGCATCTGTTTAGGCACTCCTGGGTGAAAGCAGCAGTCAGAATTGGAGCTCTGGACCTGACAAATACAGCCGTCTGGACCGGGAGCTGCAATTAGCAAATTCACACTTCATTGAGGAGCAGCAAGCTCAACAACAGGTAAGGCAGCTGGCATAAGGCAGACCGAATAGCTTTGCTTGCCAAATGGGTGTTGGGGGGATGGGGTTCAGACTTCAGAAGCCAGAAAAACTCCAGCCCTCGGCTGGCCTGGATCCAGGAGCCTGACAGCCTGATAGCTTGAAGCACACCTGTTCATATGTTCCATGTACAGCACAGCTTTGGATGCTTGGTGCAGTTTTTAACCATTGAGGCTCGTCTTCCACTTACGTACAGAAGAACAAAGTCTGGAAGCAGCAGCATGCTGAGTTTTAGTATTACAAGAACTGCTGAAATCCTTGGACCAGTAGAAATGTTGCAAGCTGAAGAGCGTTCACTTATCTTTCTGAACTTTCCCTCGTTAAAAAATAAGCTGGTGTTTGCTGCTGTTTGTGTGCATCCTCATCAGAACAGACAGGGAGCAGGAGCACGTGCCTGCTTCCTTTTCCTGTCCTTGTCAACATGAGATTCGTGAGAAAGCCTGCGTGAGGGCTTTGCAAGGAGCCCTGGCGAGGTGCTGCCCTGGAGCAGCGCCCGAGCAGCGCACATCCGCCTCCAGCAGCCCACCCAGACACAGGCCTGTAAATAGGCCGCCTCTCCAGGCAGCAAGCTCTGCTGAAGCTTCTGATACACGATGCCAGCCAGCTTTCAGATGAGTTTTACCTAGTGACTCTAGGAAGATAAATAGATTCCAAAGTAGGTAACTGGGGTAAAGCTAATCCTTAGCGTGATTGTGCCCTGAAAGTGACTTAAGCCATCAGCAGACCTATTCCTTTGGCACATTCAGAGCCAGACGTGTTATTTTTAGCTCTAGAAGCTGCAGCAGCCTCTTACTTATGTTAACCCCTCGTTTACTGCAGCGTTTCCCATACACTACCTCAGCAAGGCTCCTGCTCCGGGCAGCAAAGCTTGAGGTTTTGCTGCCTTCAAAGAGTCATCTTAGAGGTTGCAGCAGGGAAGGGGCATTGCTAAGCAGAGGCTGAATTTGGAGGCATGGTTGAGGAAACTGCAGCCAGCTGTGCCACAGGAACAGGGGACGGCTCTCCTGCTGCTGCCACTTCTCACACATTTCTTAGAAACACGGTCCTTGTTTCCTGGAACCTGAGGTCTGTTCCCAGGCACCACAGTTGATGTTGGCAGAGTTGGCGAGCATCCGTCCACACGAGCAGCTGGCTGTGACCCAGCTGCAGAAAGAAGATGTATAATCACCCGTTTTTCCTTCTTTCTGGCCCCAGTTGATTGTGGAGCAGCAAGATGAGCAGTTGGAGCTGGTCTCTGGCAGCATTGGGGTGCTGAAGAACATGTCCCAGCGCATCGGCGGGGAGCTGGAGGAGCAGGCAGTGTAAGTATGTCACAGGGTGCCAAAGGCCCTGCAGGTGTGGAGCCTGCTGCAGCACAGCTGGGGGTCCTCGCTGATACCCCTGTTGCATCCTTGAATTTCCTGGTCCCTCAGGCAGCCTCTCCTAGCTCATCTGCAGCACCTTAGGCTGCCTTTGATTTCAGGCCGTGGAAAGCATTTCATATTGCTGCCTGCAAGGATCCTACCGCAGCCATGTTCCTTTCAAACCTGCACCTGGGGCAGGTTTAGCTGCCAGTTTACCTTCCCTTCTCTCTTTAAACTCCTTCTCTCGTTTTTAAACACCACCCTTAAGGCACTCAGTAAAGCTCCTTGGCTTCTAGCAGCCAGCAGTGTGCAACGGATGAGGGAAGGCAGTGCTGCCTATTAAGGATAGTGGGTGCTTTCCCAGTCCGTGGGGTTTTGTGCTCACCCAGACAACTGTGCCCCGGGAGCTCAGAGCTCAGCCTTGTCACACAGAGCTGCATTCATAGTTAAAGCTAAAAATAATCCTCACCCACACAAAGGGTTAAGGGGTAGCTCACAAAGTAGCTTGTATCCACCCATTTACATATAAATTAGATTTCTTTCCTTGTGCACGTCCTTTGGAAAGAAGTGCATGAAATTCTCAGTTGTGCAGACTAACAGACACGAAGGGTTTGTGCCTAAACCCCCCTTGTTTGGCCGACGAGAGTCTGGAGGGCTGTGAGCCCTTGTGATGTCTTTGGTGAATAGGAGGAACTCCAAAGCACCTCCTGTGTGAAGCCTGGCCACCGCAGGTTGGTGTGGTGCATCTGTTTCCAGGTCACCACATAAGCCATCAGTGCTTGCTAGCAGATAATTAAGGCAATACCGCTTTTTTTCTACAACTCTTTGTTCTCCGTGCTTTTAAGAGTGTTATGTTTTAAAGTTCTGCTCACTGGAGATGGCTGGGATTGCTTTGATCCTGGATGTGCTTTGTCTGTCTTCAGGTGGGTTCTTGGCCCTGACAAAGCACAGCTACAGGAAGGCTTTCAGATCTGTTACAGTTGCTGTGTGGAGGAACTGGAGGGGTAACTTCTGTAGCGTTTGAAAAGCACCTTAAAAGCAATTGCAAATCTCAGTCCTGCTTGATACCAGAGTGGAGCAAGATTTTAGCTTCAAGTGCTAGCCCTCAGCAAGAGAAGGGATTTAAAGTCCAAACTGGCACCTTGATCTACACATTCACTGCTAATCATGGATTATAAGCAAAACTTTCATCTTCAAAGGAGGAAACCCCCACTGCTCACCTTTTAGAGATAAGCAGAGCTGGGGGACCAGTCCAACAAGTGTCCCCATGACTTCTCACTTTCCACCAAAGCTGAGCTGCTGCTTCAGCAGGGTTTTTTTTTTTTCCCCTTGGGTGCTTTCAGGAGACCATGCTGCGTTGCTTTTCTCATCCACTGTGTTCTGATGAGCGTGCACGAGTGCAGCAAATGATGCCAAAGGCACCTATTGCTTTACTTGTTGACCACCACTGTGCTTCTGTCCCCAGGATGCTGGATGACTTCTCCCACGAGTTGGACAGCACTCATTCACGGCTCGACAACGTCATGAAGAAGCTCGCCAAAGTGTCTCACATGACAAGTGGTAGGTCCAGGGGGGTGGGCTCTGGGCCTGGAAAGGGGCAGGCACATCTGTGAATTTTAGGGACGGAGCACTATGAGCTCCCAGAGCCAAGTAGAAGGGAGGGAGCAGCTCCAGCTGCTTGAGAGGTTAAAGAGGGAGAAGGCATCCAAACCTTGCAGCTGCTCATGCCCAGATACTGCTCTGCAGTCTGCCCTCAGCTTTGTGTTATATACAGGCGCCTTTCTATTGATGTTATTACTGCTGCACTGGGAAAAACCCCTTCTTAGACGATAAGGAAGGAGAGTTCTGCAGCCTCTCGTGCTGCTTGAGGTTTCCTAGGCCACCTGCCGAGCAAAACACTGCCACCGTGCGTGCCTTCTCCAGCTGCAGCAAGTCCCTCTGCCAACCTCGCCTGCCTGCGCGCTGCTGGCGCCAGCGCTGCCGACGGGAGGACAGTCGGACGTGTTTCCTGGTGGTGAGGAGAGGCGATTTCTACGCTGGGGAGGCTGAGCCCACGAGAAAAGTCCTTATAAGGCTGTGCCTGAACGTGGTGGGCTGGCGGCCGGCCGGGTGCCGTGGGCAGAACAAACAGGAAGCTCGTGCCTGCCGGGAAGTCCCCGCCGCTCGCTCCCCGCGTTGCGGCGCTCTCTGCGTCGCCTCCTCCGCTGCCGGTGCTCGCGTGTGGGGGGTGGGAGCAGCAGGGAGGCAGGAGGGAACCGCTCTACAGGATCAGGCTGGGCAGGGAGCTCACGGGGAATCCGTGCTGCCGCTGGCGCTGATGGGACGGCTCTTCCCAGGGCTGGCTGCAGCACTCAGTGAGTGGTGCCAGCAGCTCCATCCCCACACTGCACCATCTCACAGGGGCCGGATGTCTGCCGGTGCAGACGTGGCCGTGGACGGAGAGCGGCTGTGCAGCCCGGCGTCGCCCACTCACAGCTTGCTGCAGACAGAGCTCATGTGGGGGAAGGCAGGCCCTGCTCGAGTCATGTGGCTTCTGCGGTGCGGTCGCAGCTTGCGCTGTGTCCAGGGACAGTGGGGTTCCTGGTGCCAGGAAGTCGGAGGCGAGCTTGAATCCAGATGGGAGAAACTTTCACTGTAGGTGCAGGACGGTGTCAGACGGTGTAGAGCAGCAGTACAGGCTGGTATGGTTTTGTTCTGTAAAATGCATTCATATCTTTTCCAAAAAAAAGTAAGAATTTCTCCAGTGGTGTGCTGAGCTCCCTAAGGCAGATCCTAGAGGCAGTGCAGAGCACAAACAGGTCAATCCACAAGCAGTAACGCAAAGCAGCTCTCTGCTTCTTCCTGATCACTTTTGAACCAGCTTATCAAATCTGTTTGAACTTGACTGGGGAGAAACCTCAAAATTCCACACCGCAGTCCCAAAAAGCAGCTGCATCCTGGAAGAGAAACGCTGTCACCCCACAGGCAGTAGGGAGGAGCCTGCAGAAGGGCACGGTGCTTGTTCTGCTGGTGAGGGAGCTTTCCTTTTGAAGGAAAGCACAGTGAAAGCAGCGTGGTAAGGAAAAGCTCTCCTCCAGCTTTCCTTCTATTGAAGTAAGAGGACCGACCATTCCTTTCTCTTCCAGATCGGCGGCAGTGGTGCGCAATCATCGTCCTCTTTGTCATCTTGCTGGTGGTGCTGGTCCTGTTGATTGTCCTGTGATGGACTGAACTTCCTTGGACGCCTCCTCTCCCCTGTAGCACGGGGAAATGAAACTCTTTCCGTCCGACCGCAGAGATCCCTGTCAAGAAGACCCGTGCCCGGCTCTCACCATTCTCTGAGGACCAAGGCCTGGCTCCACCAACATCTCCCCCAGCTCTGGGGAGGGCAGACAGAGGACAGGAAGCAGTTGTGGCTCCCGGATCCCGTCGGGCTGCCTCCTGCCCCACGGTGCTGCCATCTGGTCCCCAGGCCCTGGAGGGGACCGAACCCTTTGTGGGTATGAGCCAGCTGCAGCAGTCCCAAGCCCTCTGTGCGGACACGGAGCAGGGAGCCTTGGCAGGGTACGGGGGGTGGAATTGTTTCACTGAGCATTACAAACTGCATCGCCAGCCTGTGGGATGCTTGCCAGCCAGAAGCATTACTGGGAGGAGCGGCGGCCTGAAACCCCGCAGCAACACGCACCCAGAGCAAGGAAGGGCAGCCCCAGCCAGCACCACGCCTTCCAGTTAGCACCAAGACCCTGCAGCATTCACATCCAGGACCCCGAGGCAGGAGCTGGCACGCTGCAGGTAGGTGAGCTGCAGGTGTGCTGTCCTGCCTTCGATGGACACGCAGGGCTGGGGCATCAGCCTGAGGCTGGTTTCACACAGCTCGTCAAGTCACCTCCTGTTACACAAGCCTCTCCGGCTCCCTGACTGATGCTTTCTTTCCCCTTGTATAACCAAGCTTCTGTTTAACAGCTGCTTCCCTTTGGCAAGTGATTTGTCAGGTCTAAAATAACTTATTTTTTTTTTAAGGAAAAGTTCTTTTAGTGATTTTTGATGACTGTTGGAGCCGCATTCATTCTGCGGCTGCAGGATGCATTATCAGTGGAATGGGCCTAACTGTGTACCTTAAGTGCACACAAACTTGTAAATAGGATGTCTTAATTTTCCCCAACTGTTTTTTTTTTTTGTTTTTTTTTGTTTTTTTTTGTTTTTTTTTGTTTTTTTTTAATTTTATTTTTTTGGGAACTTCACTTGTAAGCAACCCAGAGCCGGGAAGCTCAGAGCCAGGTCACGTTCTGTATCACTTCCCAGTGCTTTTGTTACCTTCGGGTTGTTTGGCAAGGGCATTGCCTCAGCAGTGCTGGCCAGGCACAGATAGCAAAGTGCTGTGAGGAGAGCTCACCCTGGCAGTGTTACCGGGGAGAAATACAGATGGGTTTTGTGCAGTTGATTACAGGAGGAAGGGGTGATGCTTCAGGAAAGAAAAAGATTTGCAGTGAAGTCTGCTCCTGTCTTTAGGAGGGGGAAGAGCAGCAAAAGATGGGAGGCAGGCTGACTTGTGCCTTCCATCTGGGTCTCAGATGGGGCTGGGGGAGGAAGCTGACTGGTGCTGACACTGCAAAGCAGGCCTCCAGAACCACACTCCACAGAAAGGAAATTCGGCACCTGAAGCACTCTGTCACCCAGGACACGTAGCCCTGGTGGTTTGTGGCTCTGTTTGGGTCTGCCCAGTCCCTCCTATTGAGCCCTTGCACACACTGGTGGCACTGTGCCTTTTGCAGCCAGGCTTGGGATGAGGGGAGACCCAGCAGCCCTGCCAGGTTGGAGCATCTCCTCTTGCAATGAACGCACACGTGCCCTTAATGCCAACCTGCACAAGTGATCTTGGCAGTTCTCTCAGTCATTGCACAACGTCTTGTCTCTTTTGGTTATGCTGTGAGAAATACATACTGTCTCTTTCCAAAGGCAGGCTCTGGCAGTGTCTGCACAGTGCTCTGGGCTTCAGACCTCTCTGAGAGTGGGTTTTCAGTACGGTTGTATGTCGTCCAGGAGCGGCTCCTGATGCTCCACGCAGGAGTGCTCAGTTCACACACTGCCAGGTTGCAGCCCTGCTGCCGTGCTCCATGTCTGTCCAGGTGTCACTGCTACCCAACTGTCTTTGCTTTTTCTGTTGGTGGTGTTGCCCCTCCCTTGAATCCTAAATAAACGCATTGCTGCTGCCGGTGTGTGACGGCAGAGGAAAACACCGGTCTCTTTTGTGGTAACGGGGACAAGCTTGGGGGCTCTTTGCCTGTGTGGCACCAGAGTGCAGCAGCTCCATCCCATCAGGAGCAGACAGCACACCCCAGCCTGGGCACCAAGGCAGGAGAAGCTGTGACACCACCACTGTGAAGGACCCGCAGCCCTCCCCAGCCCCACCTGCTCTGCTCTGCCCCACCCAGGTATCATCCCCGTCCCGAGTGCCACCCGCAGCACGTTCATTACCTACATATACACACAACCACCACCTGTTGTCATTGCACATATACATACATATATATATATATATTTACAGTTCTGTGATTTGTTTTTTTCTTTTTGCAGTTTGAAATAATTTAAGAGAAACCCACCAGCTCATGGGCAGAGGTTTCCAGCTGAGGCAGGGAGAATCCAGGGCCGGAGAGCTGAGATGTCCCCATGCCAGGGGCAGGTCCTTGTCCCACGTTGCCTGCCAGGGTGCCCTGCCATCCCCATCCCCGCAGGGACCCGTGCATTGCACATAAGCAGGGCAGATCCAGGCCCTTGGTCTTGTTGAGGTCCTTGTTGCACTTTAGCTCCATGCAGGACTCCGGCAGCACCTGCAGAGTGCTCCACTCCTCCTGGAGCCGCGCCGCTACCGCCGAGCCGGGCGCTGCCTTAGCACACGCAGGGCCAGGCTGTCTGCCTGCAGCAGCAGCTCCCGGATGCGTGCCAGCCCCAGGCCCGACACAGCGGCCCCGTTGACCTGCAGGATCTCATCGCCCACCCCCAGCAGCCCCGCGTACAGCTTGGCCGTGCCGGCATCCGCCATCTCCTGCACGTAGACACCTGCAGACAGAGGTGCAGGCAACTGAGCTGCCAGGTGAGCCGCCAGCACATAAAACCCATATGAGTGATGGTCTTCGCTAAGGTCCCTTCCTACTTTAGCTGGTCTACCGTTCCACGGCCACAGTACCTGTGTCGGGCCGGCCGTGCCCAGAGGTGACCTGGAAGCCGAAGGAGCCGTGTGGTGGCCGTTCTATCTCCAGCAGGCTGGTGCCATCGGGGAACACCTCCACCACACGCCCCACTATGCGCGGCCGGTCAGGTGCACCGATGTCCTCCACGCTCAGCGAGTGCCGTGGCCCCGAGGCTGCCTTCCTGCAGGGAGATGCTGTGAGCCCAGCACGGCACCACCAGGCCAAGGCTAAGCGTGGCCGTGTTCCCATCCCACCTGTCCCCATCCCCAGGCTGGGACAGCAGGTACGCATTGGCTCGGGGTGCCCTGCCCAGCAGGCTGTGCAGGCTCTGTATGGAAGCGGCTTTTTGGGGCTGGCGGAACGGTGACACCTGGAGAAGTGTGACACGGTGAGACGCGTGGCATCAAAACCTTGCGCCCTGCTACGTACACCTCAACCTCCCCAGCCTCCAGAGCCCTCCCAAGCCAACAAAGCCCCATTTCCCCCTTGCAGAGGATGGCTCACCAGTGCCTGCAGCGAGGGCGACCGCTTCACGCTGGGGCCGTTGGGTGCAGGGCCGGGCAGCTGCTCCATGCTGTAGCAGCGGAAGCGGCCCAGGCGCTGCTTGGTGCTCTGGCTCAGGCTGCATAGGAGCCGCTTCAGCCCTGAGGATGCCGCATCCCCACTGCCCTTCCGGCTTGTTGCCCGTGCTGGCTCCCTACAGGACAATGCCCAACAGTGTTTAGCAGTAGCTTGTCCCCAAAAACATCCTCACCCTGCTCCAATGTGACTTCTATGTCATGAGGCCAAGCCTGGTGCTGAACCGAGGAGGGATGCTCATAGTCCCTCACCACTCACCCAGGTGTTGCGTTCCCATCGTGCTGTGCCTTGGGCGTCCTGGTGGTCTCCCCAGGTTGTGTCCCCAGCCCATGGGGGCGGCTTCCACAGCCCTGTCCATGGGTGTTGTTGCAGTTATTAGTGGACAAGGCACGCAGGGGGCTCCCTGGGAGCCACACAGGGCCACAGGGCCCCCGCCGCTGCCCCGCACCCTTGGGTTGGGGCAAAGTGCTCCCAGCATCAGGCTCTGTACACTGGTGGCTGCTAGCAGGGACACTTGTCCTGCAAGGCACCTGGGAGGAGGCCTTTGTAGTGGTGATGATGGAGGGGGTGTGGGAAGGCCCCGCTGGCCTCGAGGAGGGGACCAGTGGCTCTCCTTTGCCCGCCATCTCACTGGTGTGTCCCCCATCCTGGCTGCCAGCTGTACTCGCTGGTGGGGGACAAAGCGCCCCCGAGCCCCCGGCCACACTCGTGCCCTTCTCCTTTTGCGCTGGGGTGCGGGGGCTGCGGTGGCCACGAGCCCGGGGCTCCCGATGCCCCCGTGGGTGGGGGCTGCGGGGCCGCGGCTCCTCGCTGTCGGTGCGGCAGCCATCGGAGGTGTCGGTGCTCTCCAGTGCTGAGTCCGCCTCATCCCCACGGGCGACGTTCCCGATATAAGTCTCCTTGATCTTCTCAGTGTGAATGCGCTGCCGGGAAGGCAGGATCCAGAGCGGGGACCCCCCAGGACCCAGCGGCCGGGCCTTGGGTTCAGGCTGGGCAGCAGCACCAGGACCCGTGCGCTCCCGTCCCCGTGCCATGGGGCTGCCTTCAGCCGGCACGGCGGCACCGAGCAGGGAGCCGCAGGCCTGGCACTTGCCCCCAGCAGGGACATCACCACCACGGGATTTGGCAGGGCCATCCCCGGGGTGCCCACGGGGCTCTCCACCGCTGCGCTCCAGTGCTGAGCCCAGCACCCGGCGGTGCCGCAGCCGCTCCAGGTAGCGCACCTCAGCGTCGCGGGCCGACTCGTCCTCAAAGCGCACGCGGGATGGGGAGGGTCCCCGTGGCCGCCGGGGCTCCCTGCAGCCCGACTCCCCGCTGGATGAGTCGCTCAGACTGCCGCCTGCCAGGCCCTCCACCTCTCTTGTGGTGACGCTGGGCCTCGGTGTCCCGCTGGGCTCCCTGCAGTGGGGACAGAGGACTGGAGAGCTGCGGGGACAATCCTCCGCCATGGGGTGAGGAGCGTGGCTAACGAGCCCAGCAGCACTGAGTCCACATGACCCCGCGAACGGCCCCTGCGCCGCACCTCCACTGGAGCGGTCATGCATACCAAAAGGGAGCAGGGGTCAGGACTCAGTCACAGGGTAGGAGCTGGATGTGGGGCGGGATGTGGCACGGCGCAGGGCTCACCTGGGGTGCGCGGCGGTGGGCAGCAGCAGGAGGTCGTGGCTGGCACGCAGCGGGTTGGTGCGAGCCTTCATGCGGGCGCGCTGCAGCAGCTGCTTGGCCTGCTCATGGCGTGGGCTCAGCTCGAGCTCCTGCCCGGGAACAAAGGCCCTGCAGGGAAGGATTAGCAAAAAATAACACGGATTAGAAGTGGTTTAGCAGTGACGGGGCTGCTCTGCAGGGAGAAAGCGGGGCCTGGCTTGCAGGCACTGGGGACACCCCTGCAGGCAGCCCCAGTGATGTCGCACTGCAGTAGCAGCAATTTAGGGGGCTCGGCAACAAGCCTGGGGCCATGACCTGCACCAGTGACATCCCAGAGGCACGTGAGCAAACCGAAGCAGGTGCTGCCCCAGCCCTGCAGCTTTGGGCTGTGCTCAGCCCCATTCCTCTATCCACGTGCACAGGGGTTCCCTGCCCTAGGGGGAACCCACAACCGTGCACGGCCCCATTCCTGCACTGCCCTCCTCCCCCCGTTGGCCGCAGCCCTAATCCTCCTGATTAAAATAATCAGCTCGGCAATCACTTTGGGGATCCTCGCCCCAGCCTGCCCACAGCTGGAACACACCTATGCCCCATGCCAAACTGTGGGGAGCCACTGCCATGAACCTCAATTTTGGCTTCCCCGAGGCATCCCACCTGTGCCCACCAGCACCAACTGAGCCTCAGATGCCAGAATAACGGAAAACTGATCATTGCCTTGTAAGTGCTTCCACTCCAAATTGTCCCCAGACCTCCTCCATGCTGCCCCCAGCATTGCTGCTGCTGCAGCCCCTCTCTCCCGACCATCCCTCCTCATATTTTTAGCCCCACTGCTGAGGTTTATCATTAGGCCAATGAGATTATGCATTCCTACCACCCGTAAGCTCTTAAGCACTGGGGAGACATTTCTGTCCCACTCCTCTCTCCTGTCAGAGACACCTGGCACCAGCCCTGCTCTGTCCCCTCACAGTACCCCCGCGCCCCATTCGTCTCAGACCCGTTTGTCCTCAGTTGAAGCATTTGAAGTCCTACCTGCAGCCCTCAGCATCCTGCAGTGAGACCCCTGAGTCCCAGTCGCCATCACTTGCTGGCACCTCTGGAATGGGAGAAGGGGGAAGGCATCGCAGGGAGCTCCCAGCCTCACACCAACTGCCTTTGGGGCCAATTCTCCAAAGCATGTTTTGCCATCTGAGAGCCCAGGAAACGGGCACAAGACCCCAGGGCTGTGGGGATGCAGACTGGAGAGTCATAGAGTCACAGATCTATAGAAAGGCATAGGTGGGAATAGGTGGAATGGCAAAGCCCTCCCAGCCCTCCCCCACCGCAGACTGGCCGCCCAGGGCCCATCTCCATAGGAGAGGTCCCCACAGAGACCTGAAGTGACAGCAGAGGCCCAGGCACGCACCGTGCATCCCCAGCACCTCGTGCAGCAGCTGCCGGTTCCTCTCCACCCTCTCAGCCAAGGACAGTGGCTCCGAGCCCTCCGTCACCTCCTTGCCAGCAGAGACCAGAGGGGGAGAGCCCCCCAGCCCCCCCCGCTCCCCCCACGATGCAGTGCCATCCAGCAGCCCATCAGTCAGGTACGTGCGGAGCTGCACCCGCTGTTCCTCAGCTCCAGCCTTCCCCTTGCGGGCACGGGCCTTCTTGGGCGAGGGCCGCTCGGCTCCACGCTTCTCCTTCAGCGCCTTCACTTTGCCCTCCAGCACGGCGTGGGGGCCCAGTGGGGGCTCTGCGGGACGGGGCCCCTCCATGTGCCCTGGGAGGAGAAAGTGCATGAGGGCAGCCAGCCTGTGGCTTATGTGGCCGTCCCCAAGTGATGCCAAGCCCTCAGAGCACAAACCCTGCATGGAAGCGTCTTCCGGACGGCACCGATAAAGCCCTCCGTGCCCCGCGCGGCCCAGCAGCCTCTCATCCCCTCCCAGGGAGCCCGCAATGTGCTGGGGACGAGAAACACCCCTCCGTCACAGTGGGCCCCCACAGAGCCAGGACAGCCACGAGGGCAGGGCTTACCCCGAGCATCGGGAGAGGGCCGGGATGGAGGGAGAAGAAAGCGGAAGAGGGGAAGGAAGCATAGGGAGGAAATTAAAAAAAAAAGCAGCAAATCCCAGCCACTCCAGCCCTGCCGGAGCTCCGCCGCTTGGCTGGGCTGCTGGCTGCGGCCGGCCCTGCCTCCCGCCCGGCCTCCCCCTCCTCCTCCTCCTCCTCCACCCGCTCCATGGCAGGGCTCCCAGCCAAACCCAGCGCAGATGCTGACACCCGAGCTGGAGGCGGCCACGGGGCCACCGCGGTCACACGCAGCCCAGGGGACACCGGGGACACGGCGCACCCAGAGCGGTGCCAAGGCCACCCATGGGACGCCCTCTGGTTGTGCAAACAAAGGGCCCCCACGCACCCCAAGAGCGCTCCCCCATCCCCAAGCTCCCCATGGTTCTTCTCCGGCATCTTTCACCCACAGTGCTGGAGCATCCCATGCGCATCACCCGCATCCAGGCTCTTCTTGCTTGCTCCCAGGCTGAACCCCACAGCCGTGCCCTTACCCCAAAGCCCAGCAGCCCCCAGGGCGTACCCCTCCCTGCACAGCCTCATCCCACCGCCGGGACCTCGATCCCCCCACACTGGGCAGCACTTACCTGCAGGCACGGGACACGCTGGGGAGCTGCAGGGCCCATGGGCGAGGCGGTCCCGCTGCACGCTGCGGCTTTTGCTATTCATCATTGGTTTCATAATCCCGGGACCCGGAGGAAATCACTGGGATTATGAAATTGTTTTAATCCCCCACCCCCCAGCTCCGGCCCCCACCAGCACGAGAAAGCGCCGTTATCTTCTTAAATCAGCCCCAGCAGAGCAGGGGCATCGCAATTTCCGGTGGCAGCACCGCAAATCCCACTGGGGAGCTGCCAGGCCCTACAGCCCCACGGCGTGGATTTGGGGACCCGGTGGGTGCAGCCCTACAGCACAGAGGGGGAAAGGCGGGCGCAGAGCAGCGACAAACGAGCATCAGGTCATTGGAAAACAAAGAGCTTGTAATAATGAAAAAAAGGACAGATTGAGTAACCAATCACTTTTTCCTCTTAAAAACACAATCACAGTAACTTTGCTTTTATACAACCACCTAGGAACTAGGAAACAGTATCACATTGTGCATTTTTTTTTTTTTTTCTTTTTCTTTTTTAAAACCTACTTATCAAGAAGGGTTATTCCACACTTCAGAAATGATATCCATTTGGGAAGGAAAGAGGAGACAGCTAACAGCGCAGTCACAGTACACCATGAGTCCAAGCAAGCGGCAAGTCTTTGTCCTCACCTTTTCCACTTAGCCAGAGAGAAGAGTGGAGAAGGGGATAGCAAAAGAGAAAGGAAGAAAGCAAGCACCCACAGAGGACTAATCACACTCCATAATTACTTTGGACATCTACAGGTCGGGGCGGCAGAACCATGAGACCAACGTGGCAGGGATGGGGAGGGGCCGGGGCGTTCTGCAGCCCCGATGCTGAGAGGATGAGGCCGTGGTCGGACACCAAAGGGTGCCAGCAGCCCTCTCCTCTCCTCCTCCCACAGACCTGCCTTTCTCCAGTGGTGTTCCCAGGGCCAGGCTAACCCTCCAGCAGCAGTGAGGCCAGCTGTGGGCGGCACGGTTGCCGCAAGGATCATCCGCTCTTCCCCTAGGAGCCCCAAACCCTCTTTTCCAAGGAGACAAAACAACCCGGAATCACCTTCTGGACTAAGAACTGAAGTTAAAGGGAAGCTGAAGGCAGCAGCTCACTGCGCCTGTGTGCACGGTGCCACATCATGCGGGCACCCACCGCAGCTGAAGGCCCCTGCAGACATCAGTTTGCCCAGCCCATTGCCAACCTCCATCCCAATCCATGCTGCTGCGATGGCTGCAGGTTCCACAGGGCTGGTTTGGGAGGAATGTGCCTTCCTGATTTCTCTGAGGCCGCCGGCAGGTTGGGAGCTCCCTGCCAAAGGGAATGGTGCTTTATTCTGGGAGATAATTGTTGCCAGCTGCAGCACACCACCTTCCCTTTTTGCTTATTTCTTCTGGCAGCAAAGGCAGAAACAAAAATAAAGGGAAGGGAAGGAGCCAGGAAGGAGAAAGGCTTTCCATAAGGCTTTGAGAAACTACACAGCAAGAAATTGACTGCTTGCAGCCTGCAGTTCCCAACCTGCAGCACCAACCTTGCTCTGGCACAGGTCCACCACCACTTTGTTTTAACCTATTCCAAATGAAAAGAAGAGAACTGAGTTTCCTTCCTCAGATCCTCCAGGCGAAAAGCACAGCAGGTAAAATCAGAGCAAATGCAAGGCAGCAGTCAGGGGAGAAGCCGTGCTACCAGCCCAGGGCAAAAGAACAGAACCCAGGATGTGACAGCAGGGATTCCTGCAATCCCATCGCTGAAACCTGACGGGAGCCAACAGACAGCAGGGCAAGGATGCAATGAGCAGAGCCCACCTCCTGCTGGCAGCCCAACACACCTCCGGCAGGACCTGTCGTGTGCTGCCTGTGCTGCAGGAGGAGAGAGCACGGCGCACTGCTGCTCCTACCTACAGGGCTCAGCTAAAGGTGATTAAGGCTTTGAAATCCAGCGTGAGATCCGGACGATGATGCTGGAAGGCTCTGCCTCGAGCTGCTCACACTGGAGCAGGACCCAGCCCTCTCTTACAGCGGGCGGTGTGACGGTGTGTGCTGCTGTCACACAGCAAGCCAGCCTTCAGCTGCCGCCACAGCAGTGCCTGGAGTGGGAGCAGCAACCCAAAGTCAGGAAGAGAAGCTTTGGTTTCAACTAAAGCTGAAAAGAAAGCAAGCAATCAAAGGGAAACAGGTGCACAACCCCACGACCCTGCACATCTCCATCCACATTCCTGGGTTCGCATCACTGGTACAACCTTCATTGCACAGGACTCAAAAGCACTCTCAGATGGTTGTTAGGTTCCATAAATTATGTGAGAACTATACGTAACACATACATCACATTTCCCAAAAAAAGAAATATATATGATAAGAAAAGTTACATCAAATTAAAAAGTAGCTTCATGAATGAAGGTACTGCTCTAAGTGCACTTTCCCTGCAAGTGCAGCCAGTGCCTCAGCGCTGGATATGAAGAAAAAAAATAAAATAAAACCAAAAATAATCAGATTTAAAAACTTAAGTCCGGTTTCAACCAGTCAAAACCGGGCCAAGCAGAAACCGAGGGTGTTCTCGGCACTGTCCCAAATGGGAGTCCCTATGATGCTTCTTTATCCAGACAGGTGTGTATGTCCTTGTTGAGACTGTAAACAATCCTTCTTTCCTGAACTGTCCTCTTTATTGGCAAAAGAAAGTAAAATGTTTTATTTTGTGTTTGTTTGTTTGTTAAAATAGGACATCAAAATTAACGCAGAAGAAAAGAAACAAAACACAGTGAGCTTGTTGGAGTCCATAGGATCTGGTCTGGAAGAGCTCGGAAAATGTGTTCAGTGTTTTCTCCTGTTTGCAGCTGGAACTGTACCAGAGATTGGGTTACTTGGGGAAGAGGGGAGCAGAACGAGAAAACAAAGGATGCTGAATAAGAGATCGTGGCTGCTTCATGTGTTCACTTCTTTTGCTAGGTCCTCTATCAATACCTTTGTGTCAGAAGACTTGGACCTGGGAAGAAACACAAACAGAAAACACTCATCAGGGAGCTGAGGCCGCTGCTTCCTCCTCCCACCCCCTCCCAGGAAGCGATGAAACAGGAAGATGCTCTGCAGCCATTACTGCACAATGCTCCCTGCATGTCCAGGTTGCCCAAGGAGGCTGTGGACGCCCCATCCCTGCAGGCATTCAAAGCCAGGCTGGATGTGGCAGCCTGGTCTGATGGTTGGCAACCCTGCACATAGCAGGGGGTTGGAACTAGATGAGCATTGTGGTCTTTTTCAACCCAGGCCATTCTGTGATTCTATGATTCTGTGCTTCCTCACCCCAGGAGCTGCTCTCTTGGCCAAGGGCTCTGGAGCTGTGCTTGGGGGGAAGAAGTGACGCTCAGACACCAAAGCATCCTGCAACGCTTGGAGCGCAGGCACAGCAGCAAAGATGCACAGCCAGTAGAGCCTGGGATGCAAAATGGGGGAATGTTTTGGGTGTAAGAATGAGGGGTGGAAAGAAAAACCCGCATGGGTTTGGATATGGGAGGGGAAGGGGTCTGAGATCTCACGTGACATCTCATGAAAGGATAAGTGAAATCTTAGGGCGGCCAGAAGCCCGGAAACAGGGGAAGAGCCTGTCTCTCACGTTTGGATGCCCAACCCCCTGAGCACCGCTACCAGCGCAGGAGGGGGAGTTCTGTAAAGGGCACTGCCTTCACATCAGCTCCAGGAGGAGAGGCTGGACGTACTGTGAAGCCAGGCGAGGTCTGCGCAAGGATATGCTCTGGCTGCGCTTCCACTGCTTGTTCTTGCGGCGGTTCCGCACGCCGTCCTCCTGGTCCATCATCTGATCCAACAGCGTCAGGTCGTCGGCGTTGAGCGGTGCCACGGAGATGTCCCTGACGGCACGGAACTCACCACAGTTGTTCAGGTGCTCGTTTTCCAGACGGAAGAAGTTCCAGACAAACCTCCTGGGTGGAAAAGAAGAGAGATTTATTGACGCGGTTCCGCTTTCATAGGCGCCGCTGTGTTTGGTGAAGCACTGATCCGTGAGCCTGGGCAGCACTGACTGTTCCCACTGATCACAAAGTGCCTCTGGGAACGTGCTTGGAGTACGCAGGAATGGCAAACAACTACCAGCAGCACCTGCTGTGACATCTCCCAGCCCCTCAGCGAACAAACAGGCTGGCAGGCTCATTCATTGTCCTAATGATGACAGCCCGAGTCTGCAGGCATTACAAGAGGAAGGAAAAACATATGGCAACCTCTGCCATGTACACGAGTGAAGTTTGGCTTTTTATTCATATGGGGGTCTGCAGCAAGAGCACGAGGGTGTAAAGAGCTCTGGAACCCCGCAGGGCAATGGGGCAGGCTGCAAATTGGTGGAAAGGAGCAGGAATCTGGGAATAATTGTAAACATGAAATAAAGGGAAATATCAAATGCTTCTGCCAATGATACAGTTTTAAGGTGAAACTTGGTAATAACACATCCTTTGAGATTAGATCCAGCAGCTGCAGAGGGAATGGTAAATGCAGCCAAAGACCCAGCCCCACATTGCTGCAGTGTTCCTCAGCACCCTGCTCAGATTAAGTGCCTCTCCTCCCAGTTCAGAGTCCAAAGAGCAAGAGGCTTCAGGCTTCCCACTCTGCTGATGTTTCACAAGCAATTGGAAATCCAAACAAGCTCCTCAGCCTTACCTAAAAACCTCAAGTGGGGCAAACACAGTAGAAATGATATCCCCAGCATGTGGAAAGATCTGCATGGAAGTGAGGGAGATCTGGATGGTCCAGGCAAAGCGCAGGATCACGTCCTCAACAATGGCACAATAGTAGTATGCCTGGAACACAAGATACAGTTGGGACAGGTCAGCAAGAAGGCCTTCAGGAAGAAGCAGGCCTGAGTGCTTCAACTTTTAAATCAACTTTGTTGCTTGCACACAGACTGCCTGCGCAATACAACGTACACAGTAACACATCCCCTTCATTCCTGGGGAAGAGACCCTGCCAGTCATCTACTCAAAGCACTGCACAGTTGTGCCAAGGTCTGTTTTTAAATTGTCTTACGCTTGCATCACTTCTCATTGTAGATACAAGCATCCTGGTGCAGAGGCAGCAGAGAGAGAATTTGCTCCTCATTCACTCAAAGCACCGCCAGCAGCATGTCTTTGAAACAAACTCTGCTGCTGGAACATCCTCATGCCCAGCATGCAGGGGGCACAAAGCAGCCAACTGCAACGTGCAGCTGAAACAAATGGAAATGCATTTTGGTACAACAGCAGAAGCCACCTCTAACATACTCACTTTCTGTGGGTAGACAATTCCTTCTCGAAGAAAGGTATTTTCACCAGCATTTTTGTCAAAGAGACCCCAGTCCATCTTCAGGTCCCAGATGAGGGTGTAGCAAGAGCTGATGAAATAGAAGATAATCCACAGGTAGAAGAACACTTGGGTGTCGCTGTGGTTTTTAGCTGCAAAAGAGAAGAACAGCACACTTCTGTACAACCTGAAGTGGATTGCTTCTTTAAAAAGCCTACTTAAACCTCAGCCAACGTCTTGCATTGGGAACGCAGACGTGCAGTACAACGTTCATTTTCGCGGCAGATGAGGCAGGCTTGTTGTCATCCTCAGTCCGGACAGCAGGGGGAAGCTGAGGGCCGCATTTCACAAAGGACACGGGCTGTACAAAGGAAAAGCAAGGAGGCAACGAGGAGGATTTCGTAAGAGCGCGGCTTAGTTTGCAAAAACGCCAACAGCAAATAAGTCCCTTAACAACCTGAAAGAAGACGGACGGCATGGGAATCCCACAGGCTGCTTCAGAACAGGGGAAAACAACGGGGCCATTTGCTCTCTCCTTCCCTTTTTAGCACTCTGATATAAACGTACGGCAGCGATCCGATAAAATTAATGGAGGTGAAAATGAGGGGCATCGTGTAAGAGCACGCTCTCCCCATTATGCCTTCCAGGCTCCCTGGACATGAAGTGCAGGATATAGGTCAAATACACACGCTTGTTCTCTTTTCAAAACACATCCCCTAAAGCAAACCTATTAAAACCATTTATGCAGCTAAGCTTCGAATCAGCAGGGGAAAAGGACAAGAGATTCACTTGAGCTGTGCAGGTCTCCCCAGCCTGCCTGCTGTCACACAGGGCCAGCAGTGGTGCATTCACCCTCATCTCCCTGCAGCCTGGTGGCACCCAGGGCAGCTCTGACCCCGCTGCCACATGGATGTCCTGCACCATATGGGCTCCAACGCCACGTTTCCAAGTGCTGCTGGCACAAAACAGGGGCTCAGGTGATGCTTGAGGCTTATCAATTAGCAATCAACTGCAAGACATTGTCCTCCCCCAGCAGCTCCTTCAGTAGGTTTTTTCATTGGGAAAAACAGACAGCTGCTGATGTGCAGTGACCCAGACTCTAAGGCTGTGCCCTCCTACATTATTTTTGGCTGGCAACATCTCCACATTCAGTTCCCCTACCAGATCCTAAATGATCGTTCCAAGAGGCAGCTAAGGGGTTAAGAGCTTTCCAACATCTAAAACGCTCCAAACTACCCTGCAGGCTACAGGCTCCCCACAGGGGCTTAGGCTGGAACGTTGGGTCAGGCTGTTTGGTTTGTTTTTAAGAACAGAATTCAAACAAACTGGAACTCCACACCTTCAGGGAGACGCAGAAGGCAGTGCTGAGGGTTACATCCATGGCAGTGCCCTGCTGCAGCACTGAAGAGCAGCCAAGTGGCATTAATGGGACATCCTCCATTCATGGAGGGGATGGACCCAGACCATCCTAGGCAGGTCATCCCACCCCCAATCCCCCCGTTGGCTCCTGTATTCTCTCTCACCCACCATCCTGCAGCGCCACTCAGCTCCTGAAAAACTTCATTACAAAACCAAATCCACTCTCTGGCAGAATGCTCTCATCAGAACAAGCCTATTGCCTTCAGCCTTGGCCATTGAGTCCCATCCTTTAATCACTTACCTTCTTTTTCCTCCTGCCTGCGATTCTGTTTGATACCTTCCTTCCTCCTGGCCTCATTGGTATTCAGCCGGCACACAGAAATATGTTACTGCTCCAGGCAAGCAATTATATCTCAATCTCCACTGGCTGGTCCTAGTGGCCTCTTCAGCACTGCTCAGGGGGGTAGAAAATCAAGGCATCTGCATTCTGCCCAGAGGCTCCATCTACCGCCTGCCAGTTTTTGAGGAGCAACACATTGCCGTGTGTATGTACCACGTCAGGGTCTATTTCAACACGAGCTGCTTCATCCTACTTTTATTTTGTTTAATGATGCGCTAGAAACCACCAGATCCACCACTAGAGAGTCTTGGGATGACTGGTAGAAGCGCACTGGACTCCTGGTAGATCTCAACACCTCTGAGAGGGGAAAGAGACTGAAGCTCATCGTGCCACGGGCTGCAGAAAACCCTCTGCAACACAGCTGGCAGTCAGAGATGTGAGGCCCTTTGTGCTGCCACCCAGCAACACCCCAAGCTACAAAGCTGTTCCAAGCAGCACATGCGTGAGGAAACACCGTCAGCACAAAACTGCAGCACGCGAAGCTGTAGGCACAGCTTCAGCTCCTCTTGCAGGGGGGTCTATTTTGGTGTGTTCTAATGAGCACGTCTGCAACCTGGAGGTGCTGGGCTGTGTCAGAGGCTACTCGAGTTCAGTGTCTTGCTGCAGCACCCGTGGCACCTCCACTTGCTGCAGAGATGAGGGGGAGCTGCACGCCGCCAGGGCCACTTGCAACCTTCACTGCAGGATTTCCATTAGCATCCTCAGCTTCCCCTGTAAAAGGCAATCCCAGTGGGTACCTTGCACAAACACGCCCGCAAATTGCCCCAGAAGGTCACAGGGATAAATAATGGAAGGCTTCAACCTTTGAACTGAAGCTGTGAATGGCCACAGAGCAGGAAAACAGCCACGGGCACGTGTAGCAACTGAATTTACTGCCTGCAAAAACTGCTGATAGACAAATATGTTCGATACCAACAGCAGCCACGGGGGAAACAGTTTCTGACATGCATTCTGAGAGAGTAATACTGTGCAGAAATTATAGCCCCTTCCAAACACAGGCAAGAGAAAAGTCGCTTTCCATCAAAGATAGACAGCAAATACTATTCCGAACGCAGTTAATATTGACTTTACTTCCAAAGAATACTATCTGTTTACCCTGCTGAATTATTCTGGGGAATGTAAACACTATATAGTATTCAACACAGGAAAAAAAAAATAAAAATCAATGCCATGTATTATTGAAGACCTGGATAAGAGCATAGCAGTCCTCGATAAGCACTCGGTGTGTCAGCCACCACTGCCAGCTGCAGGCTTTGCTGATGGCAGAAGCTGTGATAAAAGCTGTCAGAAGTCTGAGGTTATCAGGAAACACAGCCAGGTGAGCCCTGCTGCACGATGCCAATCTGACTGTGTGGAGCAGTTCCACCTCCAGCATGAATTAGAAGCTTCTTGATCAAGGCTTGCCAAACACAGGCTCCTTTAATGGCAAGCCATTCAGCCCCAGATTAGGTGGAACCCAAAGGAAAGAAATCCATATTTACAGCGTGCCCAGTGGGAATTGTTAGCACACTGAGCACATGCCCAGGTAGGCTGTGAGCGATGTGCTCCTCAACTCCACCCCAGCACACAGAGGGAGGATGAGACAGCCAGAAGTGACTTACCTACAAGAGAAGAGCCGTCGGATGGCATCCCAAAGCACGTGCCTACTAACACCTTATGGCTTGAAGCCAAGTCTCACCGAGCCCTCAGTGACTCTAACTATGAAGGAAGGATGGGCAGTAGTTCTCTCCCAACGAGTGGGGATCTCTATTTAATGCTGATCGATGGCAGAGACACGATGGTGGGCTTAGTGCAGCAAAAAGGCAAACAGCCCTGAGGAGCACAAGCAGGACTCACTGTGAGCTGACAGGCTTTGTCAAATACCAACCACTTCCTAAGAACAACCTTCCCTTAGATTTTGCAAACCTCTGCTACTGCCTCAGGGCGCAATTTAAAGTAAAGCATCAGGAGATAGCACTGAAGAGCTGTCAGGAGGCAAGCTCTAATTTCTTCTCCTATTTAAATCCTGCATTTGCAGAATGGGGAAATCCCCAAATCCTGTTTTGCCTAAATAAATATATATATTCTGCTGATTTACACTGGGTTGTGTAGGACAATATAACTGTGCCTAACTTTGAATCACCATACAATAGAATCACAGAATGGCCTGGGTTGAAAAGGACCACAATGCTCATCTAGTTCCAACCCTGTGCTATGTGCAGGGTCACCAGCCACCAGACCAGGCTGCCCAGAGCCACATCCAGCCTGGATAAGCACTCTCATGGATAAGCATTCTTTTTGTTACGGAGATACATGATTTAATTGCAAGCTGGAGGAAGCACACCACTCCCTGCTGACAGATTGGATTCCTCTCCCAGTGTCATCTCTCACGTCTGAGAAGTGTTACCGGGGGGTGTTTAACTGAGAAGGATGGGGCTTCCAATGCAATCATTTGCCAGCAGACTCACTAATAAGAATAGCTGAATTCACTGTCAAAAATAAATGCTGTGGTCTAATCTAGGGATTCATAGAAACATTAAGGTTGGAAAAGACCACTGAGATCATTTAGCCCAACCATCCACCATGCCCACTGACGACGTCCCTGACCAAAATCAAATAAACCAACGGTGACTTATTGCACCTCCCAGGTTCCTGCAGCCACACAGAAGCCCAGGTTGGCACAGCCTTGGAAGGTAAACCGGTAGGCCATCCCTTTTACTTACACCTTACTCATTAGTGCTCTCGCTTCTCCAGTCACGTTAAGCTGGGACCAGATGGATGATTCACTGCCTGGTAGGGTGCCGAGGTGCCTCTCCCCCACAGCCCGGCTGCTGGCACCACCAAGCATCCCACTTGACATTTAGAGGCCTACAAAGAATTGGAAAATGTCCCTGCGGGATTTCACGCCTCGTTTGTGCTGACACTCAGGGTGCAGAGGCAGCTCCCAATCCCACTGCCTATAAACGCGTGCCACCAGGCACAGGGTTCCCTCGGGGGGTGACTCCCCCTCCATCCACAGCATCACCTGGAGCCCTGGGTGAGCAATTAGAGCCAACGAGCTGGCATGGGAAGCCAGGCTGGCTCTGGGACGGGGGTCAGAGGCCGGGTTGGAAATGTTTGCCCCGTGGCAATGCCTCACATACTCTGCTAATGACGCTGCCACCGCTCTGCCGGAAAAAAGGATCAGAAAGACTGGCTAATGAACACAACTCATTACTGAGGGCCTCCTGGGCATGGGATGACAGGGTTTCAGACCAGAAGTCGTCCTAGCTCACAGCAATGTGACAGACATTGCACATTTTGGCTCCAAATAATCACCCTGATGGAGCTGCTGGTATGCCGTGCTAAGGCAAGCAGCAGGAAGGCAGCCACTTAGGAAAGAAGACAGTTAATCCCATTACAAAGTTTGTTTTACTTCAAGAGGTCAATCTACACTCTCTACAAGGCTCTTGTGACACCTAAATCAAACCATCTGGCTTGCCACAGTGCTGACAGCTGTTCCAACACAGAGAAAGAGAGATCTTGCACTGACATGCAAGGAATAACAAAGGCAACAGGGTCTCACAAATACTATGGTTCCACTCTGCCATATAAAAAAAAAAAGGCCCTTTTTAACTAAAAATTTGCACTTGAACTCTAAGCATCCTTTTATTTTGCTTTGTTAGTTTCTCCCCACACGTTTCACTACCACAGGATGACAGCGTGACTGGGTTGGAAGGGACCTCAGAGATCACCAAGCTCCACTCTGCCATGGGCTGCCTGTCCCCCAGTTCAGGTTGCCCAGGGCCCATCCATGCCCTGGGGCACCTCCAGGGATGGGGCACCACAGCTCAGGGCAGCAGTGCCAGCTCCTCACCACTCTCTCAGTGGTAAGTTCCCTTGACATCTAATCTAAATCTCCTTTCCTTTCATTTAAAGCCATTCCCTCTTGCTTTATCACTCTCTACCAGTGTAAGAAGATGATCTCCCTCTTGTTTACGAGGTATTGCTATTTTCTGCACCAATGTCTGACTTGTTTAATTCATTTTAGCCCCAGCTCTCACGTTGCCTCGCTCATCTCCTGCTGCAGCCATTCAGGATCACAGTTAATTACCATTCCACCCATCTGCAAATTCTCTCCACAGGGGTTACATCCTGCAGTTTCTAACACGGCGGCAACAAGCCATAAGTGACACCCCAACTAAGCCACCAGTACTTTGGCAGGTAGAGGATGGCAGAGTTAAGACACAGCCAGGTATCCTCTGATACAGCTCCCAGTAGCACCCAGAGTGCCCACCATCCCCTCACCTGGAAGCCACAGCTGTGCAGTGCTAGGACAGACCCAGAGAGGAACAGTGACCCGTTCCAATGCAAAGTGAGCTGCACCATTCGGTGTCAAGCCTGGCAGCAACCTTAACCACTGTGATGAATGAGGAGTGGGAAACAGACCTGCAGCCTTCCACTGAGTTTCCACACAGCAGCACATTTCCCATTCATCTTCATCTGTTCAGGCCTGCTTGAAGCTCTCTATGAGTAAGAGATGGTCCAACACCTTCATGCAGAAGCCCATTAATCTCGGGATGACTGCTGCCTCATCGGGTCATATCTCTATTCCTTGGTAAGGCAGCAAGCTTCACAGGTTTCAGCTTAAAAAAAGCAAGTTACAGGGGACAGGGCTGCTGCTCTGCTGCACTGCAGCCAGCACACACTGCAGTTGCTAGGTAGCTTAGAGTTACAGATAGGCCTCATTTGCCTGTGCAAACATATCCCGGAGGACTATATTTACAGAACACGGCCTTTGCTTCCCATTCCTTTGAGCGATATAAAAATACTGAGAATTCTTCCTTTGGGAGCTTAGCAACAGTTGCCCTTTGGTTCCTGCTGTCTTCCCTGAAATGTGCTTGTGTTTGTGAGCTGGCAGCAGGGCGGGCAGCTCGAATCACTGCTCACTGCTCCTGCTCTCTGTGAGGGGCTCGCATTTGAGCGGCACTAATGTAGGAGATGATAGCTTGGAGGGGGCTCTGCAAAACAAGCTTCATTCCAGGACAACGAGAGCACCAGTCTGAGAGAGGACTAACTGTGTGTACTCTGGTACCTTGGATCTAACAGCACAGCACAAAGAGCAGAGCAAGTTGCATTTGGAATCCAAACCCTAAAGAGAAAAATCGCTTTTCTAACCAGAATTGTGCACTGCACAAGGGGTTATTAAACTGCAGTCCTTTGGGGAAACTGAGTCAAGAGCCTGCTGTGTCGCTGCTGGGGGGAACCTTTGCTCTAGCAGCCACAGATAAAGCAGTATCACATCGGCACGTGACAGTTATTCATAACAAAGTGGCATCTGTACATTTGTTTGGCTCCAGTTGTTTTCAACTAGTGTATGAAAATCCAGCACAACAGTGCCATATAAGTGCATTCCAGGTGAATTAGCTGGATTTTAATGCTGACAAACCCTCCTAACCACACAGCCCATCTCCACGCAGCTGGCAGACGTGAGAAAACCTAAAGAACAACTACAAATTATTCGCTGTTCTAACTCAGAGGAGGAAGACAACCCTCCCCAGAGGGCCATGATGTTCCTCGGGACTCCCAGGGAGAACTGCCTGGTGTACATTACCTGACCTCCCAAGAAAAGGCCACAAATTACCCTCTTCTCCTGGCAGCTGAAAGCTCTCATTCCAGACTTATAAGTCATAGACTTGCAAACAGAGGCATGAAAAACTGTTTAAATAAAACTCTTGTTAAAACAGCAATTAACAGGTTCATTACTAACTGTCATTTAGAACAGGTCTAAGTAGCAAGGATTTTTACCCGCTTGACACCTGTCTGGGGCAGTGTTGGTGTTCTGAGCAGCAAACATCCATAGCCCCTAATACTTGTTTTGTAAATAAGAGACCAGTGTTTGCCTCTGCTATACTTAGGCAGACAGAAAGAGTGGGGGAGCAGCGCTTCTACTTCCAACAGCAACATGGTGAACACTTGCTAAGAGTCCATCTGACTCCAAGTTTAGAGAAGGGGAAACGCATGCAAAGAACACAGATACAATTCCAGCAGATCTGAACAGAATTAAGAAGGTCCAAGGACGCATTTCTGGCAGCAGGGGGATACGGCCAACAGCACTGACAAGACGTAGCAAGGTCTTCAGGCAGTGCTCACAAAACCACTGCCAGTCCGGGCGCAGTGACATTTGCAGAAGCTGTGAGATGTGTCATTTCTAAATGCCACGAAGCTCCCAAATTTTTATTTGCTTTTGTATGACACCTACAGCTATGCACTACCAGCTGCCACTAAGAAGAGAATGGGACAGAGCAAAGCTGGGAGTCACCGAGGTCTCAGGCACTGGGAAGAGCCTGGGCTGGGCTCATAAACATCTCGTTACAGCCCACTGCCTGCCAGTTGTGTGCAGGGGCAGGCACCAGTTGTGTGTGGCAGCAATGAGAACAAGGGTCAGAGCATTGGCATGGATGCAAACCTCTTGGGGAGTAGGAAAAGGTCAAGTCCTTCCGCAGGATGTTTACCCAGATGCTGGCTTTCCTCCTGTCCCAAACCTACCCCAGCCTTCCCACAGGGGGCTCTTCCACAGCGTCCCCACGGGAGGCAGAAGCATCCCTCAGCCTCCTAAAGGTAGGCACTATATATAAACCATACCAGCACTGACCACAGCCAGGCAATCTCTATGTGTCTCATCTCACAGCATAGCAGCTGAGACTAACAGAGTGCAGGGCTGGAAGAAAAGGGCAGCAGGGTGGCACCAAGCAACTTACAATGGGAGCAAGCCCTGTGGGGGAGCAGCAGGAGGGGATGCACGAGGAGCAAGGTGAAGAGCTCTGACAGCATCCATCACCACTGTTGCCACACTGGGTTTGTGCCATTAAGATGCAAAGCTTGGCAAATGTTACGTGCATGGCTCCAGAGCCACTGGCCACAGAAAGGTTTCTAATAACCCTGCTTCCTCACCCACAACCAGCATGGGAACTAGGAGCATACATCCAACCCTTTTCCCTGCCTTGCCACAATCATATTTCAGGATAAGCAATAGCTCATGAGCATGTGTAGCTGTTAATTCCAGGAGATAAAGGAGGCGTATATTTTAAAATGAAAGAATACAGCTTTGAGGACTTGAGAACAATGAGAGGCAGGGTGACTGCCTGAAGTGCAGAAACGAAAAGCTTTTTCCTTCAGAGCAAGAAGCAGAATCAAGTAATTGTCGTTTCCAGGGAGATGGGGAACTTGGGGATCAGAGCTCAATCTGCAGTTAAATGGATTGGAAACAACTCCCTGCCAGCTGCAGAAAAAAACATGGATACAAACACACAGGAAAATCCAGAGAGGGCGTTTTCCCAGCACTGTGCACATCTCCCTGTGTTTAGGGATGACAGACAAGCTGCAACTGTTCATGAATGCCAAGGCAAAAGTATTTCCTACATTCTCCCTCTCCTTAGACGTCTCCCACCCAACCTCCCATCACAGCAAGAACTGACAGGTATTCCAGTTTCCTCCTTTAGAGCAGGTATGCAAAAAATACTTCAAGTATTATTTTGAAGTATTTACTTTTTACCAGCTAGGCAGCCCTTTGACTTTCCACTGAGATGTTTCACAGATGCTGGAAGGCCAAAGTCTACATTTGAAAGGGAATCCAATCCTAAGTTTTTCCCCATGGAAGAGGAAAACCCCATGACTTAGCCCAGGATGTTCTCATTCAACAGAAAAAGAACTGGTGAGACATATCTGCCCCACCAGAGCTGTGCTCGTAAATATTGACCACTCCTCAACAGCAGAGTCACCAATGAAAAACCAGCTCAGCACCACGAGACAATACTTGAACATAAAGAACCAATACTGCGTTTTCACACTGCTATCACTCGAACTTGGTAAGAAAGTGGCTGAGGTGGTCTTCAGCATCCCTTCTAGAGCGTGACCTGATGAGCACACCGATGGGCAAATGGCCTTCCAACATAACCAGTACCTTTATGAGTGCTGTAGAGGGCTGCAAATGTCACCACAAAGAAGGTGGTGGAATATTTTCCAGCGTTAACCAGATGAAAGGCCCGTTTGTTATCGCGGTACCGGCGCAGGCACTGGATGAATCGCAACCAAGCAGGGATGCACTGGACAACTGCTCTCACTCCGTAGGAGTAGCTGTAACAAATCTGATCATCTGCAAGAAAAAAAGTGTCAGAGATACAGAGTCAGTAACTTTTGACCTTTCTTGCATGTGAAAAAAACGTTACCATTTATTTATTTCCATCTTTGAAAGGTGGAGCAAAGCATGAACACAGATTGAACAACTGGGGTGAGAGGCAACTGTGCAAACACAGCACCATGTCACACAGGAAGCCTGAAGTCCTCTTGTTAAGGAAACAACCAAGAAAATCCCAGCTCTAACTACAACCCCCCAAGCATACCATATTTTTCTGCAGTCTTGCTCAGCACATTTAAAACAAATGTTTGTTTCTTACTCCAACTAATGGAGACAGCTTCGTTAGCTGATAGTTATTCTGAAGCACTTTATTCCAGGGTTTGGAGGACTAGTCATTATCCACACAGTTATTTTATAACTTGTTTTGGTTTTTGGTTTTGTTGAATAAGACAAATACGTAGTTAATTCCAACACTGTCATAAATGGAAGATAAAGATCAGACAGATTGGAAAAACAAAGCGAATGCTGATGCTTATTGAAGCATGCTGCAATCTCTCTTAGCAAGTGTCAAAACCATCAGACAACACAATTTGCCAGCAGTCACTGCTTAAAATGGATAGAACACAGCCTAATTCAGTAGGAGCCAGGTATGGCTTTGCCACTGGGAAGGCCAAAGTCAGAATTCACACATCAGCTCTGTGACTTCCCTGGCTAGAAAGGAGAGAGGCAGAGCACGCACCGCCCTGCTCTTCTAGCATCAAATGTGACAAATAAGGACTTCTGAGGAAGTTTCTCAGTCCTCTCTTGCTTCAGGCTATGCTGATGGAGCCTTTAAGAACCAGGCTACAGCACTGAAAGCTGTGGTTAACGACCTCAACTCATTTTCGTGCTAAGCAACAGCAACAGGCTAAAAGCAAATACGTGGTTAAACCACTGAAATGAAACAACGCCAGGAAAATCGTTTTGTCTTTCCAATCAATAAGTGCTCTAACATCCTCTGATGAATGTGCAAGTCAGGCCAAACGACTGGGTTAGGAAACGAGCACTGATGTGAAATTCCATTTCTCTGGATGGAAGCAAGAAACGGGAGAATCTCTCCAATGCCAAGCTTACAAGAAAGGCCAGTTATTTCAGTTCCGTGTCATTGGTTGGCCTCTTCAAATCAGCTGCCTAAGAAGTTGCCTTGCTTGGTATTTTTCAGGTCATTCTGACAGCACTCACAAAGCTGTCAGCATTTCTCTACCTGTGTTTGCCAGAAGTCCATCACTGTCCGTCCACTGAACCTCGAAGCTGTAGAAGCAAATCATGTATTCCAGATCCATGAGTATTACAACCAGGCTGTTGAGCTGATCAGCCAGCCAGAAATCTGCGAAGCCCACCTTGTGGAAGGGAGCAGTGAACACTCGAAACTGTTGAAAGAAAAAGGAATAATTTGTGTGACATATTAGCAAAGACCCATCTGCAGCAGCAGAACATCACAGCGTCGAACAAATACGGGAATTAAACGAAAATATTTGCAGATTTCTTGCTGATCTTTTGCTCCTGCTGAAAAAAGAAAGATAATTGTCTCCCTATTTCAAGTACAAATAAAATTCCTGCTTCCAGACATCTAATTCTCCTCCTGTGCTTAACTATTCATCCTCTCCAAGTTTTCATTTTCCCAACCAAGCTCGCAGTCTCCGTGTAAGAGCTCTTCCCAGTGCTCCTCATGCTGACCAGGCACTTCTGGCACTTTCTTTCAGCCACACGTTACCTTAACTTCGTTACCTTACCTTCAGACTTAACATCAGTCAGATAAGAGACCCATAACTTGGCCCTTAATCTGACCATGTCTCAGTGTACTTAACTGTTCTCTGGCGCTCACAGTTGTACCAGTGAGTACCGTTATTTAGCTGGATCTCCCAAACCTTCCAGCACCAAAGAGTTAAATAGAGAGCAGAGGAGATCCTATTAAGTGTCAGTTAAACTCCCTCTTCATCCCAGTCCACTTTCCCTCTAAGCCTCAACAGCAGTTTTGCTACATTCAAACCAGCCAGCTTTCATGGTCCATTACCTTCGATTACAACTCTCTCTACCCAGTTAGTTATAGCTACTAACGGCCAATTTCTCAAAGAGACAGCCCCAGCACCATCCTGTAGTTGAGAGATTTATGAACCTTTAAATTAATGAAAGCACAGGCTAACAATGATCTTTTATACTGCTCTCCTTATTAACCTAAATGATACACCGTTACGGAAACCCAGGAAAGGACTGACACAACCCCAGCTGGGCTAGTAATGCCAATTTAAGGTTCTATATTTTGAAGCCAAGGAAGGGATCAAGACTTTGAGGCATTAAATAGCAGATAGAGACCTTGACCCAGAAAGCTCCCATGCTCAGGTAGGACAGCACTTATTACAAAGGCTTGAGTGTGAGGGACGGCTGCTCTCAAAGCAGCCCTGGCGTGGAAGCACTGCAGAGATCAGAGAAGGTGCAGCAGCCTTCTTTCTCATACAGACCATCCCCCCTTTTACGAGCAACCCCTTATACCATCTGATTACCTTTACTCATAGAATTTTATTTTTTCCTAACAGTTTAACGCACGCAACATCCTTAGCTCTAAATTGGAGTCCTACGGATTTGGATGGTGGACCATCCAGTGGATAAACAATCAGTTGGGTGGTTGCAGCCAGAGGGTTGTGGTCAATGGTTCTGTGCCCAGGTGGAGGTTGGTGACTCCAGGGGAACCTGGAGCTCTTCAGCATCTTTATCAATGGCATTCACAGAGGGATTGAGTGCACCTTCAGCAAATCTGCACCAAGCTGCACAGTGCAATTCAAGCAGCAGAAGGAAGGGAAGCCATCCAGAGGGACCTGGACAGGCTCAAAAAAGTGGGTCCGTGAGAATCTAAAGAGGCTCAGCAAGGCCAAGAGCAAGGTGCTGCACTTGGGGCAGGGCAATCCCAGACACATGTACAGACTTGGAGAAGAACTCATTGAGAGCCCTGCTGAGGAGGACTTGGGGGTCCTGGTGGACAGAAAGATGGACACGAGGCAGCAGTGTGCTCCTGCAGCCTGGAAGGCCATCAGCTCCTGGGCTGCATCAACAGAGGGGTGGCACAGGGCAGGGAGGGGACTGTCCTCCTCTGCACTGCCCTCATGACGTTCCCTTTTGGAGTACTGTGTTCACATCTGGGGCCCATAGCAGAAGAAAGATGATCTTGAAGGTCTCCTCCAACCCGAGCCATTCTCTGATTCTTTGATTAATGAGAGACACTTGGACACTAGGTGATGACAGTACAGAACTTTTAAGAGAGCAGAAGCTTTCCACCTAAAGGTTAGAGCAGACAAGGAGTCGCAGATATGCAGATGGCCCAGCTAAGGCCCTGCTATCGCCATCCACAATCCCCACAGACAGGAGCTGCAGTTTGAACTCCTCTAACCCCCCAAAAAAGCTCCCATTTCTGACCAGGGCTGCTGCACGCCTCCCCAGGCCCAAGACAGCTGTAGAGCAGGGACCAGAGAGTGTTGGCACATCCCCATTCCACAAGCAGATCCACCTTTCCCAGCTAGGGAATCTGCAAAACCCTCAGCTGAAGATGAATCCTAAGAATAAAGCAATAACAGCCAAGAGTCCAACTTCAGTTTCAAGCCATTGGTTGCAATTATATTTCAGCAGTTCCACAATCCAAGCGCAAACTTTCTGGTGCTGATCACTGCAGTTTCAAGCCAGTGCTGAGACAGCAGATGCTTGAGCTGAAGACTTCCCTAGATTTTCACCTCATGCTGCTCTGCTCCCTGCAGTTGCTTCCCCATTTCAGCTCCCTGCAGAAAGGCCGGTATGGAGATGCTATGCCATGCTCTGCACTCTGATCTGATTCCTCTTGGTGAGCTGCTTCCCTCAGCCTACACAAATGCATGCAGCACGCTCCTCTCCTGGAAGCAGAGGCAAAGAACGTTCACGTCAGCAGGGTGCCACGCAGGCAAGAAAGAAGGGATTAAACTCCCTACAGGCTAAATCATTTTTTCACCCAGAGGAAGATCAAGAAGTGACCTGCAGTCAGTCCATCAGGGATTATCAACACAGATCCTGCTCATGAGCACCAACAAGCAGCCAGTGAGCACAGGTGGATTCAGAAAGCTTCCTCACTCCATCAGGAAATGCTGTAAAACACTGACAACATCCTCCTGATTTGTTTCTAGAAAAATCAGAGGTGCCAATAATGCACAGCTACACCCAATACACTAGGCTGCATTTCTGCCAGAGATGAAGCATAGCAAGTGTGAGAAGAAAATGCTCCTCGAGTCAGAGTTTGTGTGAAAAGCAGAGTTCTAAGAACTGCACTATTCACACCTCCTTTCACCCAGATAGCTGCTGGTGAGAGAAGAAATAAAACACACAATAAAAACTGCATGAGATAAAAATTAGAGAAGCTTCACAGCTACACTGAGTGGTTTTGTCTGGTCTCTTTTCTCCCCTTCCCCCTCCTGCATGACACACAGAAGAATTTCGTGATCTTCTACCATTATAGCAATCTTGCATTTTGATGAAGCTTTTCTCCCCAGGAGACCTTGGGATGAATTGGCTTCCACATACATCTGTGTTGCAGGCTGCAGCAAGGTCTAGAGATGGAGCAGGCTCTGGGAACTAACCACAGCTACTAACAGTTCTGTGAAGACTGAGGATCTTACCCTGTGAAGATATTAGGGTAAATTAGCACAGAGATTGCTTACAGTCAGATCACTGGCTGTACTTTTCCTGGCACCGAGGGACAGCAGGAAGACTAATGAGGCTTGGGACTAAAGGAACATTTGTGAGAGGTGGCTGAATGCTGGAAGGCACAGGGGGAGAAATCAAAATAGCTGTAACTTAGCAAATCAAATAACAGGGCTAAAGAGGTTAACTACTTGCATGTATACCTGCACGCACACACTTAAAGCATGACTCTACATTTCATCTTTGCCATGCTCCAGACAAAGTTAATTGTCTTAATTGGCACTAAAATGATTGTACGAATAATGTCAGCCAGCCCAATTCCCCTCTCAGAGTAGTTCCAGCAAGAACAAGATATCAAGGGAACCAAAGTGACTGAGGTTAATTTAAAAGGGCCTGCAGGGTGGGGGCAAATATGCGAAACAGCCATTTTGGAAGAAACTGATGAGCCATCCAACGAGTTCTATTGGACTCCCACCTGCAACTGGTACATCAAAGTAGCATGGATATCTACTACTCGTTATTTACCAGACTTAACTTACCAAGAAAACAGTAGCTGGATCTAAAATGAGGTCTTCTAAGAACATAAAAGATTTGCTGGAAACAGCAACCTGGAAGCAGTAACCTTTGCAAAGATTCCCTCTCCATCAGTAAACCCAGCAACGCCCAGCTGGGTCAAGGACTAGCTACATCAAGGGACATGCTACATACAGCTGTATACATGAAGATTAACTAGTAACTACCTGCAATATGAAGATAACAACAGTAGAGGCAAACAGAAATAGCAAGTAATAAGTTGCAGTAATTATTTATCAGGTCTGCTCTATGCATACATAGGTACAATGGTAAAATATCCCTCTACACTGAAGATTACTGATGCTTGCACATATTTCAACTGCTACAGCTTAGCCACAGCTTTTTAATCTTTTAATTATCTATTTTATATTTTATATTTTGAGACTTACCAATAGTTTGAGCAGCCAAAAACGGGACTTGTAATACAAGGTTTTGGTAGGGTTGATGAGAAAAAGCAACATGCAGCCATACAAGATGAGTGGATTCACCTGCATAGGGATGTAGATGAATTTACCATATATACATGCCAGCAGGCTGAGGCACCACAAAACCCCCAGAAATCCAGCAATCTGCAGAAAGACAGACAAAATACAGACATACCTTGTGAAAAAATAATTCCAAACCCCACAATGAATTCTCATTATAAGAAAAGGGAGAGCAGTGCGCAACCCTGTAATCTAATCAGACTTCAGCAACTTCCTCCTCTAATTGTGTTAGAATTCCTTGCCAGGAAATGGTGCAGGACTTATCCTCCTGATGCACTCAGCTCAGCCTCTGCTAACAGTCTGTGCTGTTTACCTCAAAGAGATGTTGATGGGACAGGTTGCTGCGGGGATTGAGCTCGAAGATGAGGACATGATTCACACCAGCCTGTCTCCAGCCGTACGTGTTGATACCCAGGAGAAAGAGGAATTCTATTAGGAGAAAGCCACCTCGATAGATTCTCACCAGTGGCCACACATCTGGTCCATCTATAAAAGCCACACCTGACAAAGAAAAAAGATGAAAGGGCCTTAATGATAGCACAAGTCACGCCACAAATCAAACCTGCGCTCCGCTTCCTGGCTCTGGCTCTCAGATACTCAGCCCCGGCCCAGGAAAGCATGGCCTGCTTGTCATTCACCTGCATATTCTAGCAGCTGGAGGACCTTCTGCCTAACCTATTTGAGGATTTATGAGTATTCTGGGGAAAATTCTCTCTCCAGCTTGTGCAGTCAGGTCATTAGCAGCATCTCAAGTCCCCCGTCTCACACCGCGGGCTCAAGGGACAGCACTAAGCATAAATCATCACTACACCCACTTACACATTCTGCTTTAACGTAGAGGAAATCTCACCAGACAGAGATACAAATATTTCAGCTGCCCACAAAACCAGGCAGCACAATTTACAGCATTTACAGCAACGCTGAACTGCGTCCGATCACTGAAGTAGGTACAGCCATAACGTAATGCATATTCATAACCAGCAATATAGTTGCCAGCCGCACCCAAGCAGAATAACCAACACAAGGCAGCAATATGGGAAAGTCTGTTCCTTGCTTTGCTCAGTCTTTGGGGTTTTGGAAATGGCCTCAAACAGTGAGCAGCCCTATAAAGCAGCGCTCCGTCCAGCCGAGTCCCCTTGCAGAACACTGCACCTCCGCTCCTGATAGAGGTTTGATGAGAAGAGCACATACAATTGTCCTCATCCCCAGCTCCACTGAGTATTTCTCATCCATAAGCACTTTAAAGGGAGAAGAGAACTACAGACTATCAGTTTCGGGCAAACAGAGCCCAAGCTTGGACAGAAATGAGGGGTGCATCGATGAACTGAAAGAAAGGAGTCTTGAGCATGAAATTGCTAAAGCATGCATTTCAAATTTTTTATCTGAAATGTCTGCAGCTGCTCCCAAACCCAGAGTAGCCCCAAAATACTGAATCAGACATGCAGAAGTTACCACGCAGACCAGAACAGATACGCTTGTTATGTGAGACAGAACAGCCAGATGAGGCTTATCCTGTGGTGAACACAGCTCAACACTTTACAGCGTGTGATGGGAACTCCCTCACTGCCCTGGGCAGCCTGGTCTAGAATTAAATGTGGAGGTTGGCAGCCCTACCTGCAGCAGTGGGGCTGGAGCTTCATGATCCTTGAGGTCCCTTGCAACCCAAGCCATTCTATGATTGGCCATATTCCCCATGAAGAAATGCTTCCTGATGTTCAATCTAAGCCCCAAACAGCACTGATACGATTTACTACTGTGGCCATGGTGTAATGTTGCTTCACAGGTTCTACACAAACAACTCTGAAATCCTATCTTAGTGAATCATACCATGAAAACAATTTGGCAAAAATAGCATAGAGGTTAGCAACGGAATGCCCAATTAAAAATAAATAACTTACAGCTAGGATGCAGCTTTTGCTCAATATGTGAAGTAACTCAGAGATACCAGATCATGTCTGCTGATACAAACATACCAATTATTTACACTAGTTTAGCAACATCTGCTTTAGAGGTGTAATCATTTTTATGAATTCCTGCTCACAACCACGTCTCTTTTTTGTTCTTAATACTGAGATGAAATGAGCACTACAGGCTTCAGTCCTATTTGCATCTTACAGACCAAACATGAAAGTTACACCAAGAAAAAAGGCTGATGAATAAAGAACAGCTCCTACACATTCATTGGAGCCTTCATACAGACGGGGCAACTTTCTAACTCTACTATACAAAAGGGAAGAGCAAACAGCTTCTAAAACAGAGAAATTTTATCCCAGGAGATGTTCAGATCCAATTACAGAAACATCTGATTAAAAATTCTCTCAAATCAAAACACAGACACAGGCTTTCCCAAATGCAAGAGCTCATATGTTGATTGTCTGTTGCACTGCTTACGTAAGTTACATTACTGAAATCACACACACCACAGTAAGGCAGCTTGTGATGGAGCCCCATATCTGGATCTAGAATACCGACCTTCCTTTTACTCCTGTGAGAGCTCAAACTTGGAATAGTAGAATAAAACCAACGCCACAGTCATGGTAAATAAATTCTTCCTGATATCTAGCCTGAACCTCCCCTGGCACAGCTTTGTGCCATTCTCATGCACTCCTAATGAAAATTAGGAAAGACACAGTATTCACATAGCTATACGTATGTTCTATTCTCTGTTGTGAATCAGTGCTATGTAAAATTTAAGTTCTGCAAACACCTCACTCAAGGTGGAAGAGGAATGCGTGTTCACAGAACAAGCACCTTGTCTTTACACATGGATGTTACACTTCCAGAATATCCTTTCAAAAGTAAGAAGGAAACCAGGAGAAGAAAAATCAACATCCTTTCAAGTCCAAATCCATGTAGGTAACACAAGAAGGATGTGATCTATTACTGAGCAGCAGTAATTCACAACTGCATGACCTGACCCAGGCTGATCCAACCCAAAAGGCTGACCAGCTCAGTTGCAAGTCCCTGCTAAGAGACAAGAACACATCCACACCAGGGTGTGGGAGCCAGCTGGGTCCTGCTGAACATACCCACCTGAAAGTATGACAGTCACGTTCAGTGCAACGAACAATCCACAGAAAAATCCAACCCTGAATGTAGTCCAGGCTGGTACAGGCTGTGAACAAAGCAATGGTGGAATCATGGGGGATTAAAAAGGTTATCAGCAAAATCAGATCCATTCACAGAGTGTGTTTTAAATCAGGGATGCAGCCTCATCTCAGACTGCATTCTTCCTCCTTGAAGTGCAGCACTGAAATTGTTGCATAACATTTTTACCTATCTTGATGCTGAACTGAAGCAGAGCTGGGGCCTCTCAGCAGCTCTTAAGATGTAAGCATACATTATAATTAGCACAATTTTCTCTTTATTATTCACCTCATCCCTATGTTTATCATGCCTGCAATCTGCAGGCTGTTTCCATGTCTTTTGGAACTTAAGTAGAATATGTGACTACCCTGCCCTCACAATTTATGGAGCATGCTCACATCCATGTATTTTCACTACTTTCTAATCTAATTTGGCATCTTGTCAAGTTGCTGAAGCTTAGCTCTATCAATTGTTTACCTGAGCTGCTCCCAAAGGTGGAACACGCAAACGTTTCATAGCCTTCTGTCTGTCCCCATCCTCTAACTCATTGGTCACCACTTCCTAAGGAGATAAAGACACACATCACGGAAGTTCATTCTAACAGTAAGTACAGGATACTGCATTAAAACAAAAAGTAACAGTTGATTTATTATTACCATTATGAGGTTCAACACGGCAAAGTGCAAGGTTTTGCATTTGGGCCGGAAGAACCCCAGGCACCCGTACAGGCTGGGAGGAGTGGTCCTTGAGAGCAGCTCGGCAGAGAAGGACCTGGGGGTCCTGATGGACGAGAGACTGAACATGAGCCAGCAGTGCGCTCTGGCAGCTCGAAAGGCAAATGGGATCCTGGGCTCCATCAGGAGAGGGGTGGTCAGCAGGGACAGGGAGGTGATTGTCCCTCTCTACTCGGCTCTTGTGAGGCCCCATCTGGAGTACTGTGTCCAGGTGTGGAGCCCTCAGTACAAGAAAGACATTGAGATTTTGGAAAGGGTCCAGAGGAGGGCGACTAAGATGATCAGGGGGCTGGAGCACCTCCCCTATGAGGACAGGCTGAGGGAGTTGGGCTTGTTCAGCCTGGAGAAGAGAAGGCTGCGGGGTGACCTCATTGCAGCCTATCAATACCTGAAGGGAACCTACACCCACGAGGGGAGTAAACTCTTCAAAAGGGCTGACAACAGCAGGACTAGGGGAAATGGATCGAAGTTGAAGGAGGGAAGATTTAGGTTGGATGTTAGGGGGAAGTTCTATACAAGGAGAGTGGTTAGGCCCTGGAACGGGCTGCCCAGGGAGGTTGTGGATGCCCCGTCCTTGGATGTGTTTAAGGCCAGGTTGGACAGGGTCCTGGGCAACCTGATCTGAATGTGTGTGTTTGGTGGCCCTGCTAGGCAGGGGGGTTGGAACTACATGATCCTTGAGGTCCCTTCCAACCCGGGTGATTCTGTGATTCTGTGATTCTGTGATCTGTGATTTCCAAGTTACATTTGACTTCTGGTACAGTGTTCTTCCAATACATGGTAACAAAGATAGGAAAAGCTTCCTATGATGTATCCAGTTACCATTACCTGGTAAGGTAACAACACAGTGTTTCTCAAAGTGAAAAGCTGCCAGCTAAAGACAAACTTACACACGTGTGCAAGCAATGCAAGAAATCAGTGGTACATTAATTACTAGTTGCCCTAGTGGTGAACACAAGGTGCATCCAGATGCTACAGGAAACAGCAGCGAACAAGAAACCATTGCTTTCTAGCTGCAATAGGAGCAGCACACAGAGCAGCATCTTCACCTCTGTTTCAGAGATGAGCTGGTTGATCTTCTTGCAGGTGTAGAAGGGTGCCACCTCCACCTCGGCCACGCGCCACTCTGCCCCTCGTGTTGTCTCCAGGTTCTTGTCATGCTTCTTCAAGATCTTGCGGAAACCAGTGAAGTTCAGGTTCTGCAGATGAGGGAAACAGTTACTGCCTTTGAAGCTCAGCTTGGTTATTTGCCACGGCTAGCAAGGAAAGGAATAACAAACAAGCCTAACTTTTCTCCAACATGCTCTGCTTGCATGGGCACCTGACTGCGTGCATCCCAGGTACTGCAGCTCAGCAACAGGTCTCTGCAAAAGCAGTAGTTGGAATGAGCTCTTAAAAACTGCCACAGGAAGAGCATGTTTTGGCTCAAATCCCCCAGGGGAAGGCACACATTAGTCTTTTCAAGGGCTTTTCCCCAGTGGAGAGAACCAGGCCACCGATTTCTAGTTTCTTCAAACCTTCCAAGTTCTCAAAATAAGCACGTTATAGAAGGGAAATTCTCATACAGCTGCAAATGAAATCCAGCCAAGTGCAGCCCCAGGACAGCACGTTCTTCCCCAGCACACCCCACCCCACAACTACAAAACCAGTCTACTAGGCTTGCAGACACAGGAGGTGAGATAAGCAGACGACACCACGTTACAGCAGGAAAGATAACGATTGATTTCCAAGCTATGTGCTAAGCCCTGACCCAAGACTCTCCTAACACCCAGTAACAAAGATAGGCAAAGCTCAGCACACTGCATTAAACAGCAATTGCTGTGACAGGATGCATCTGAAATACTGTACTTCATTGCACAGAAAATGCAACTCGAAAGGCTCTACGTCCCCTTCAGACAGCAGTGACACATGCAAGAGTCACTTCAAAACAACCTTAGAAATTAGCTTGGAAAGAAAAACACAGAAAACAGCAGAATCCAATACCCTGGGGAGAGGCACCAACTACTCACCGAAATTATTTCCAATCTAATTACACTGTGAGTGATTTAGTACCAGACCCCTGCCATAGGTGGGGAAATGAAGCTAGGGAGATGGGAGCAGGAAGCCAATGCATTACTGATCTGCATTACTGCAGACAACAGACTTTAATTACTCTCCATTGGAAAAGCCAGCATTCTAACCCAGGGAGAGCAGGTCACCGTTTCATAAATTTGAAATGAAAAAGATGCAACAAAATGCTGACTTGGGGCAGAGATTTTTTTCCACAGCCTGAACTGACAGCACTTGATCCATGCACTAGCAGGACCTACAGCTTGGCTTCAGTGTCCTCAGGGCACAGTGGCATCCGTCCTGGTGCCACCTCACACAACCCAGTGTCATGCACTCAGTCACACATTTTGCTTGTCCTGCTATTCAAGATGCTTCACTTGGCACAGGGCTTTCTCCAGGCCTGACTTCCATTTCTGCTGGATACTACTTGTATTTATTGAAGTCAGCTGATTAATGGCATGCTTTGCCATTAAAGGTGAAAAAACAGTGCCACTTGTTGCATAATATTATTGCACATCAAGTAGGATGAAGCAGCAGGCTTGCAATCTTTGCTCATATACCTAGTTAGGAAATGCACCAACGAGGCAAATGCACAGCACTCCAGTGAGACCGAGTCAGCCTCAATTATTTGCCCCATAAGTGTAACATATCAGTTAATTTTGCAAGGTTTTTTTGCTCTAAAACACAGTATTTTATATAATCTATGTGGTTTCATTCTATTTCCTGCAAGAAGGATGACATGACCCCAGCTATTCCATCGTCCCAGCAGGTCACCCTCTTCTTTCTCCAAAACTTCAAGCTACTGAATATTTGTAATTCTTGTATCTAAGCTCAAAGGTGCTTAAAATCAATGTTATGGGATTTAGTGTATGTATTCCTTGTCCTCAACTTCATGAGCAATTGGAACAGACTCTCTCATTCTCTTTGAAGATATGCCATAGAAGGAAGCTCTGCTCCTTTTGGAGACTGAAAGCTATCAGATCCAGATGGGTTTTACGCAAATGTTTAGCATGCACACAGTGCTCCTGGACTCATGGTAGCACAAGTCAAAAAGGTAAGTGTGCAGGATGCCTTTTTTCATTGATGTAGAACAGGAAAGGATTTGTCAGAGGAATGACCTTTGTCACCTCCCATTGAGTTTTGTCCACACTACACAGTGGTATTCAAGTATTTCTTACAGCTAAAAGACTCCAGGCATTACTGGTAAGGACCTAAATACAGATCTAGCAAATTTAAGTCAAAGACTCTATGTTAAACCATTCTTATTTAATGTGGTAAAACAAATAAACATAGTGAGATATTTAAAAGCAGAGCAAGTCCAGAAAAAAAAAAAACAAAACAAAAGCCCAGCAAGATCTTAATACTTCCAGAATTTTGGAACGAAATCACTGTCTGCAATATTTACCACATCCCCTCGTGCTACAAGTCCAACTACAACTACAGATTTGTTTCCTCATACTTCTTTCGAGCCTGCGTCCTACAGAATTACAAACACTCTTTTAAAGTGGATGTTTTAACAAGAAATTCTGATCTAGCAAGGTCAGAGTCACTGCCATGGTAACACCAAGAGGAAACATTACGCTAGCATTTCAAGTTCCACTACAAACATTAGATAAAAGAGTTCCTTCCCCACCTTCTCAGCTCTAACCCTGCATAGAACAACATACCACCAAATTATGAGGCCCCAGAGTGACTGCATGTTGTGACCATGCCAAGAGTGCTGGGCTCAGAGAGCTCAGAAATGGAAGAGGATCCGAGATCCTTCTGCAGGTCAGCAAAGTGCTTCCAGCTCAACACAACACTATAAGAAGTATGTTGCTGGCTGCTAGGTGTTGGTTGGTCCTTTCTTTAACTTAAGCCAGGGTCTCTAAGGCTAAAATGATGTGCAAAATTGGCTTGAATGAGGCAACCGAAGGCAACACAAGCACAAAGACGTGGAGACACAGAGCTTTCTCAAAGTGCTTCCCTCTGTGAGTACCTGATAGTTCTGCAGTAAGATGAGGCTGAGGTAGAGCTCGCTGAAGGCCAATTTCAGGTCTTTGATATTCCTATGCTGGACACGCTCCTCGTGGGACAGGTGGAAGACTGGCTTTCTGCGCCGCGGCAGCGTGGAAGCCCCACTGGCTTCTTTCTGTGCATCCAACGTTGACTGTAACTCCGTCCGAAGAGTAGTGAATCTGCGCTGAGCTTCTGCAAGCTTTTCTGTTGGTAGAGGAAGGAAAAAGGCAGGTGAGTGGGCAGCAACTTGCCTATCAGACCTGTAAAGGAAAGCATGGCTTTTTCCCCAAACAATATGCCTGTAGGTAAATAGCTCTGCATAGAACAACTTACTGCGTGGCCTTACCTACCAAATGTTAAATTCAGCAGAACACTTTGAGGATCTGCACATCCACTACCGGCCACGTGGTTGCTACTGCTTTATACGACAGCAAAGAAATCAAAGAAGAAACACATTTCATGTGCATGGCTGGGTTTTGGAGCTCAGAGAGCAGCTCAACCCCTCTGGCAAGCTCCCAGTAACAGATGCAGCTCCTGCTTTGATCAGCAGCTACGAGGCTGCTGGCATCTGTACACAATCTGCAATCACCACTTTCCCCTCCTTTCCCTCAGTTGCATTGCACCAGTTAGAAGCACTGTCTCATTAGTTAGCAAATAAAGGGGCTGCCAAACTGAACTTATCTCGAAAACGCAACAAAATGATAGCTAAGGACTATTTTCCAAACTTAAAGAGAAGGATCAGGAAAAAACATCACACCAAGGAGCTGGTAAAATAACTCCCCAAGTTCCAGCTTGGAATGACAGTTACTTGCATGGCCACGGCTACGTTTAAGAACTGCTAACAGCCACAAGGCAACCCAGCAGCCCATAGCAGCTCACAGCAACCCTGCCCAGAGTGCATTCAGGGCAGGCTCTCTCAGACCTCCCTGCATTACACCGACTTAGATTATAACAAGGATTCACTCTGGAGGGTCCCAAGCACAAACCAAAACTGGCCACAAATGAAACCTTAACTCTTCAGCAAGCATTTCTCCACTGGAACTATCCAAGAACGTCCCTATTTTTTCTTTTCAATCAGGTATAAGTTTACTCGAGAGAAGTCCAAATAATCACAAACTGGTTATCAAATCAGATCTATTTAATGGCAGGTTTCCTTCCTGCAGAGGCAGAATAATAGCCTGGGGAATTAAGACTGCGCTTGATGGAAGCCAACAGTCTCTGAGCACACAGCACAAGGCAGTGCTCAGAGCAGAGCCTTCAGGACAGGAAAAGGAGGGAAGGAGAAAACAAAACAGAGATCAGCAGAAGGATTAGCCTTCCTGCAAGCAGGAAATATTTATTGTCATAAAGACAAGTGTCTAACAAGCCATATAGTGAGCTCATAATAAATAGCAAGTAGCAGGTCATGATGCAAGCCACCTGCCTGGAGTTATAACAGAGCCCAACAGGGCATGCTTCTGACATGAACAAGACAAAGAACATTCCTTCACTGGTGGCTCTACGTAGCTTCACGTTAACTACACTAATAAGGGGTTTCCATACTATTCCAGTCACACTGCTCTCTTGCAAATAAAAGACTTATTTAAATCTCTTCACAAGAGATTTTCAAATTGCACATATTTGCTCCTATAACTTCTTGAAATGACAGCAAATTGAAAAAATCCTATTCTGTATTATTAATGTCATTCTATACAATGAGGGAAGGGGTGTGTGGATGTGGGTGCGTATGTGCTAGCAGGTCTTCATTAGGGAAAATTATCATGTGCACTGTGCATATGAATTGAGAGAACTTCTTCCATGGAGCCTAGCTTGTAGCACACAGGATCTCCTACTAGAACAGCTTAAACAGCTCAGAATGTGGCTCTGGGCAGCCTGGTCTGGTGGTTGGCGACCCTGCACATAGCAGGGGGTTGGAACTCGATGGTCATCGTGGTCCTTTTCAATCCAGGCCATTCTAGGATTCTATGAAAGTAAGACAAGTCTCTGAGCATAACAATGGTATTTTCTGACACAGCAGTCAGGGTGAAACTCAACTGAGAACTGTTCTGAGTTTAGGCAGGGACATAAGAATTGAACATAGAAAAATGCCTACAGACTCAAGCGTGCAACCCAGCTGGTCCAACAGTGTCTAGCTACAAACCTCCTCTTGCCTTGTCCTTCCATGTACCTACCATGGCTCCATCAAAACAGGTCCACAGAGCCAGGATAGCTGGCACAGCCAGCCCAAGGGAGGTTTGCTTCCCTACATGGAAGCTGAAGAGAGGCAAGCAGCAGTGTACACTCAGTGCATCTATTATGCTTTTAGCTATTCTTGTGCTCACCACCCAGACTCTGCCAGCAATAAAACAGCTAGCAATAAAGTCATACTAGGTGATTATTAAAATACTTTGCACAATTCAACTTTGTTATCCGATCAAAATAAAAAGAGAAGGCTACCATGAAGTGCTGCAAAAGCCTGTTTTAATGCAAGATGCCAATAAATCAAGAGCATGTTGAGAGAAAGTATGGCAGCACTCAGTACCTCACTGTACCCATATTTAAACTCTTTTCCAGTTGAAAACCCATTTCAAGCATTACCAAAAGAGGCAGAAAACCAGCTGAGATATAATGGTGGGTGGAACTAGAGCACACCAGTACACAAAAGCCTTTTGGAGCAATATAACAGAGCAAATCAAGGGTGGGAACGCAAACTTTCTCGGGGAAAACAAACAATAGCACTTTGAAATTTACACCATCATATTTTTACCCAAATTTACTAACCAGGATTGTGTATACAGCCAGTGACAAACTGCTTCTGACTGATCTACGCCAGAACACAGCAAAAGCTAAAATGAGGTGCTTTAAAACCTGTTGGAAGTGTCAAGGCAGACAAGTGGACACACACAGGCAAGATCACAGTAGATCCTTCTGCAAAAGCTCCGAAAACACCAACGGGGGAGCTCTGCAGTTGCCTAAACACACACAAGAGACTGTCACCACGGATGAGGAAATGCGCCCTATATGTAAGCTGCCACTTAAATTTAAGAGCATCTTCGAAGTTCAGTAGGATGCTATTACAAAGAAATGAAAGTGCCTGTCCTTCATTCTCTTCCATTCAAAAACCATGGTTTGGTTCCACGTCTGTGATTAAACCAGAGCAGTCTCCCATATAAACCTGCCCTGTAATTACCTGATGTTAGACCTTCCATGGACACTGTGGCTATTCTGAAAGCCTGAGAGCTTCAGACTCTTTTTTATGTTGCTGCATTTTCCACAAATATACACAAATAAGCACCTTACCTGAATAGAAAATGTTGATTTTGGCAAGTTCTTTCTCACAGGTTTGGAAGAACTTCTCTTCAAACGTGGCAAAACATCTTTTTACCGTGTCTTCATCTGTGTCTATAAAACAAAACAGGAAAAAATAAGTTGAAACAGAAGAATATAGGAACATATTTCTAAATGGTAGCCACGGAAATATTTCTTCAGGGGAAAACAATATCACCTTGTCACATGGAGAAAGAAGAAACAAGTCCAATGGGAACACGTACTTGACTGTAAAAGGAATTGCTCAAAGACTGAGGGGGAAAATCCCACAGAAGCAGCGTTGCCCATTGACCCAAGTTCCCATCATCGTTTCACACCCTCCACTGTGTGCTCCTGCACATCTCACATGCTTCATTCCTACTTGCCAGCTTGTATGACTGCACCTGCAGGGCCACGTGGGTGAAGACAGCTGCCTACCATCTCACCAACACTAAAACATCACCCATGCTACAGTCAGGCACTGGTGGAAGGATAAACCACACTCCATCCCCATGTGCCTGCCCAAGGCCTTCTTGGTGGACTCGCTGGCTTCAGCCACCATTCCCACCTTCCCATCACCATAACCTTCCTTCTCTTCACTACCTATTGCTCCCTTTATAGGCAGTTTAGAACAGCTTTTCAGCAAATTCTTCCGAACGCTTCAGCCACGTTCCTTTTGCTGACACTAAGGCACAGCAGCCTTCCCCCACATAGAGCTTGGAGATTTGCACTTCCAAGATGACACTGTTCTGGCAATCCACAAAACCCAAGCCAAGCCATTGCTTTCTCCTGGAGCTCTATTGTCAGCACAGCGATGGGCTGTACTGAACAACACACCTCCGAGCCAGACTTTCAGACTTCAGCAAGAGCCAGGCTATAATAAAACAGCCACTTCAAGACATTGCTTAAACCTCTCGTGGTTGTATAATCAGGAACCGAGGACAGAACAGCTTCCTCAGTTCAACCTCTAAGCTTTCACATACAAACACAGCACCGGAGGATGGGAAACAGCTCTGCTTCGGAGCTGGTCATTCCTAAGGGCAGAGTCACAGTGGTTGCCACACCATACCCTGCAGCCCTAGTGGTGAAGCCAATCCAGACTTGCCCCGATCCCACAGGTGTGGGTGGATGGAGCAAGAGAAATTAGTGCGTGGTACTTAATAGGCAGATTTTAGGCCAGCAGTTGCCTGAAGGTTTTTAAATAACTGTAATCAGAGAGTTTCAAAACAGAGCCGACTTAAGGAAGGGCCACGTATTTCTGCTCCTTCCAAAATGTCACCTCACATGGTAACGGGAAGCTCAATGCAGGTAGGGCTAAACCAACACGGTGCCAACGAAATACCTTATTTTCTACTTTACCAGTCATTTTAGAAGACAATGGATGCACAGAGCTGTTTGACCATATCCAAAGTTAAGAGGGAAAAAGGACTCTAAGGCACTAATGAGCCACTAATGAAAGACCTTCCAAAAACCTTGAGATGGGGAATTCAGGTCTCTGTTCGGACCTCAAAACACTGCTGACTCAGAGGAAAGCAAGGCTCTGTATAAGCCATTCAATATCCTTACCCAAACACCTTCTTATAAAAGACATTTTGCAGACCACAGTGGATGCCAACTTTAAAAAAATAAAAATAAAAAAATAGTAAATTAAAAACAAAATCAAGATTTTCTGTGCAGAAAAGGTTTCCCTTTGGTAATGTTCCCACTGCAGTTCAGCAATTGAGCTGCAATAATAAAGTGCTGCCAAGGCTATTGCCTTTATTTGTTCTTCCCCCCAAGGCTAGGACAGGACAACATTTTCTGCCATGAGAAAATCACAGTGCCAGAACTCAGCCTTGGATTCAGGAGCTCCATGACAACAGAAGCCGTTGTTAAAAGGCATCGAGCTACCACTGCCAAGAAGGACCACTGGTAACCTTTCTTTTGTTCTATTTCTATAGCCCTAATAGTCTTTTACCCTAAAATCTGTGCTGCTGCCATGAGCAAGGCTGCCAAGAGAGCCCAGTCGATACGGTTGTTTCTTGCCATCACCTTCCTGCTGCAGAGGACAAGGCATTAAGCCCAAAAGCCTTTTGCCCTTCCTTGCAAAATCACGTTGCAAGCTGGACCAATTGGGATATATTCCCATCTCTGCGCTTTCTGGCCTGCACAGAGCTCACCTACAATAGAGCCTGAAGTTGAAAAACTGCCATGCGTTCCTGCACTGCCCCACACAGTCATTTCTCAGCACATGAGAACTATGCATCCAAATTCTTGTGTTGTGCAGCTGCAGCACAGAAACAAGTGATCGGCGTACTGGGCTGCTTGCTTACTCACTTTCACATACTACTGGGCTGCCTGGATATGTTATATGTTTGCTGTGCCCTGCTGTTGGCCTCTTGCTACCAAAAAGCCCTGTGCCTTGGGCTCAAACAGGGCCACAACAACACAGCGTGACCAGGCTCTGGAAAATCTGCAGGCTTCCAGCTTATAAGAAATTCTAAAAAAAAAATAAATAAATAAAAGAAAAAAAAAAAGTTAATTTAATGAATCATAGAACAGCTTGGATTGGAAAGGACCCCAAGGATCACCAAATCCAAATTCCAACCCCTTTGCCACAGGCAGAGCCACCAACCTCCAGATCTGGTACCAAACCAGGCTGCCCAGGGACCATCTAACCTGGTCTTGAACATCCCCAGTGATGGGGCATCCACAGATCTCTGGTTGGAGAAATGCATCTGCCTCCAACCCCCACCAGCTCCTCCCCTCTGCTCAACCACCATTTTCTAACGTCCTTGACAGTCCCACAGGCCCAAGAGTTCCCCAACCTCTTGCACGGTACAACAAAGAGCTTTACAGCTAGAACTCAAGCAGTATAGCTCATAAATACAGGAACAAAGATCATCTCTACATCGCTAATGAGTCATCCCCATGTTTACTGGGGGATTTTTCCAAGGCCAAGATACTTCCATGCACCAACTCCCTCCTCCTGTGCAGTAAGCCACACTCCTGTCAGCTGCACATGGTATCACTCATCCAGCTTCTAAGAAATTAATTACTCACCATGCATTTTCATGCCCAATCTTGTGGCAAATAAGTACAAGAACACTTCTAAGAGTTCAGAGCATAGATATAGAACCTTTTATTCTTGCTATGGGAAGAGAGAGGAAGCAGACACTACTTCACTCATTTTGCATGGAAAGAACATTTGCTTTCATGTTTCACCTTCACTTCTGAGAAACTATACATTTGTGTGCAATGGTACAACTCTCTCTCAGAAGAGTCCATCAACAAAAATGTGGCCTTGAAACCAAAAAAGCAGCATGCAAGAAGCTTCATACATTAGGTAATGTTTTAAAAAAAACACCAAAAATAAGAAAATTTAAGTAGGCTGTACCTGCTTTTCTAAACAATTCCAGATGTGCTGGTCAGCTTTCAGCTTTCCACTTAATGACTGCCTTAATAACCAAATCTAATTTGGCCTAAGTTGGAGAAATAACTCCAGAAATAAAAAATGAACAGTCAGGTAGCAAGTGAGGTTGTGCTGTCTGCACAGGCAGCGTTTGTGGGCAGGTAGGGGACGAGGAAGGAAGAGCTGCTGCAAACCACCAACATAATTTGTCTCAGGCTTTGGTTTGCCATGCAGTGGTTCTACCGTTAACCCAGAATAAATGGAATCCATTTCAGAATATCTTTGGAAATTACAATTTTCAGGTGGGTAAAAACTCTGTTCCCTTACTTTGAGGTTGTATCACTGGAAGTTGTATTCTTGTAGATGGTTTATTTAGAAGGGAAGCAAAAGCAACCTCCACAAAGTGCCTTCCAGCTAGTTAAATAACTGAGTGCCTATGACTCTGTAAGCACAGAATCTAAAGCAATGGTACTATCCTGGTAAGAAAATCAGGCATAGAAAAGGCTGGCAGTTAGTCCTGAACATCACTGGGTTGTTTGATTTCTGCACAGTGCCCTTTCAGCTCCAGAAGTCTATCCCCATTGCTACCTGTCCCTACAAGTGACCATGACACTCCATGATGTGCTACTATGGGGCTTACAGGACCTAGGCTAGGGGGTACCTCACATGTGAAGGACAGCAAGGCAGTAGCAGAAAAAAATAAGAGAAATAACAAGCAATACTCCACAATCTGCCATAAACATAGAATTAATGCAATAGGGCAAATCTAAACACCAAGAGATGTCACAGAGGGGCGGGACTTGCAATACCTGCCTTCCCTGGTTAAGAACAACCTTTGAATTCTCTTTCTTTTCAAGGAGAAAAATAAAGATTTATTAAATGCTTTAGAAAAGTTTCCTGGAAAGCTAAACCAGAAATATGCCACACACTTAAGAGTGAAGAAGAGAGGGCCAAGAAGAACCATGGCTCCAGATGAAGTTTCACACCGACCATCACATGTTCATGGGCCAAAGAACAGAGAGCAGGGGTTGAGAAGCTTGCTCCATGCATCCCAGGACCTGCCCAGACACACAGACCAGGTTTGCCCAGTTGAAGCAAGCAGCCAGCGATGCCAACAGAGATATCAAAGGTTGGTGGAAGGACCAGGATGGCAGCAGGCACGTCCCTGGTTAAGCAACGTGCCCACACATTCCGACTGCTGCCATCCCGCTGCCTGGAGACCTGGCTTTCCTTTAAATGAAGCAGCCCTGCAGCAACGATGGTTGCACAAAACTCACCTCACAGTTTAACACATCTGTGGTTAAGTAACACAGGGCCTCGTGTTTTACCCAGCTACAAGAGCAGAAGAATGCCTTCCTTCTGGAAACTCATTTGGGTAGGTGTAAAGGATGCTTCCCCAAGTTCCCAGCCTGGTCCTTAAGCAAAGCAAACACGGAAGACAAGCAGCAATAAAGATACACAGCAGCACAGAACACCAAGATTAGAACTGATGACTTAAAATTGGGTGTTCCAAGTTCCAATTGAAGTTTTTCCCTACATTCACCTGTTCCTTCAGTTCTGGCAAACGTGTTCCTTCAGCCTGGCAAAACTCAATGATTTCAGCAAGCCCTCTGCTACTCTGTGCTACAGCTCCCAACTTTCTAGCCAAGAGATGTTTAAGATGCACCTGCTCTACAAAGGGGTGGGGGAGGCTGCAATCCTATAG